TACCTCCTGAGACCCTGGAAAGCTTCTGCCAATCAGAGTAGGACAAAATAAGCCTGGCCTAGCACAAGGCAGGTTTCCTTGCTCTTAGCCAGGGCATACAAAGGCTGTTAGACTCCACCTCCCATCAGCCCCAGCCAACATAACCAGTCGTGAGGGGTGGTGGGAGTTGTAGTCCAGCACCGTCCAGAGGCCCTCAAGTTCCCCATCCCTGCTGTAAGCCATCTGAATGGGTTTCGGTTTGCCATCCATGACCCCCTTCTCCCGCTTCCTCTCTTTCCCTTCAGCCTCCTGGCTGCTTACGCCTCTTGCCCAACGCCGCGGTGCCAAGAGCAGCTGCTGAGCGATGTCAAATGCGGCAAACTGCAGAGGTGAGCGACGGAGCTGCATGTTTCCCCTCCCCTCCCCAGGCCTGGAGCTTCGGCGTGCAAAAGGCATCTTGTGCAAGAACCACACAGGATGTGGGTTTGGGAGCTCAGGCAACGGACAGAGATCTAGCAGAGAAGAGAGTCAGCAGCCTAGAACGGGGTTTTCACTGTGGGATTTTGGGAAACGAGGCCAGAAAAAGTACCGAGGGAGGGGCCGGTCGCTCTTCACCACACCCTGAGGGTCCAACCCTGTAGCCTGAACCTCGGAGAGCCCCGTTGCCTTGAGAATTGTCCTGTTGTTGGCTCTCCTAACCTCTGTCCTTTTGCTCTCTTCCTTCCTCTTTTGCTTCAGGAACTTGGGCCCTGCCTTGAGCAAGACTTTGGCTCAGTTGTACTGCACATCAGGACCTCTGCCTTGAATCAGTGGGAGGCTGTGGGTGCGCCTGCATGCCAACGATTCACCAGCCAACGCTGAATACGCCTCCCCACTGCCACCAGAATTAGAGGAAGGCCTGTTGTGTGATCACAGTTAGCGTATTTCAGCAGCCAGCAGCTGTGGGAAGCTGGCCCCAGAGACACCCAGCACTGTTGCTCCTTGTAAAACACAGGTGCCAAGGAAAGGATGGGTTTGTCCTATTGCCCCATCACAGGGGCAGGGAACCCGAGGCTTTCCGGGCCAGTGAGCTTTTTCATTCAGCAACATCTGGTGAGCTACAGGTTCACCACCCCTGCTCTAGCATTATGTGCCAGATGTTTACTAGCCCAAAATGCACTTCCTTGCCACAAACTTATGAGGGGTTGACTCTGTCGGTTACACCACCCACAAGACTGTTTGAGGAAGAGCACCCCGACTGGGTATTTTGGGCCCCTTTTGGCTGCTAAATTAGGGCCTGCCAAGTCTCATCCCTCTTGGTTTTTTCTTCCTTTTTTATTTTAAAAAAATCTGTCGATATTCTAATAAAATTGTAACATTTTGTTTTGCAAAGGCTCTTCTTATTATGTCTTCAACCCCTGAGGTGCCCAGAAAAGTACTTTTTGACACCGCACACCTTCTTACGGAATTACGAGAGGGACAGCTTTAAAAGGAAGTTATAGACAAATCCACAGCGACGGAGGGCAGGGCTGCAACCAGTTAGTAATTGCCGAGAAGCAGAGACCTGCTTAGGAACATTAGGAGAAGTTTCGTAATGGCAGGAACTCTTTGGAGAGTGGAACCAGACTGCTGTGCGCAGTGCTGGGCTCTCTCCGGCTGGAGGTATGTAAACAGAGCCTGGCAGGATTGAGTTGCACCCTGTATTGTGGGTCATGTGCTGAGCACTGGGTTGGGGCTGTATGGTCTCTGCGGTGCCTTCCAACTCCAAAATCCCATGATGACCTATCATACCTAAGGCTGCGTATGCACCAACATGGCTTCCCCCCAAAGAATCATGGGAACTGTTGTCTAAAGGTGCTGGGAATTTCAGCTTTGTAAACTCGCAGGATCCTTTGGGGAAGGCCGTGAGCTTTAAATATACGGTGTGTATGCAGGCTAAACGGAACCTCAGATGCTAGAAGCATTAAACCTTTTGTCGTTGGAAGTGGGATTTGGTCTTAAGGACTCTTCTTAATTTGTTTCAAGACATGGGCGGGCTCTTGTTTTTTGCCGTAGGTGAGTAAATTGGAAGCAACTGAAAAGTATATATTTCAGTTTAAATATTTAAAATGCTCATCCACCCCCCTCCCCCAAAATGCCCTGAAAGTGTTCTGTGTGGAAATTAATGGGAGAAAACGGGAAAAGAAGCAGTCTCCAGTATTTCCCCTCAGCACAATCATTGGAAGAATTTGTAATATTTAAATACAAATATTATGATTCCCCCCCCTTCCAAAGTTCAGAGTCAGAAACAGTCCATTTTTAGACTGCCTGTTCTAATTAAACACAGGGGAGAGGAAATATATGCGTGTTTTTTGCAGTCTTTGGGTGAATTACCAAGTTGTGCCCAGTGGCTGGCTTTGCCTGCCTGATAGGAGGAGCAACATGTCCTGTGCTTCTTTTTTGGGGGGAGACAGCCATTTGGTTTTAAGAAATTCAGCCTCTGAGGCTGCAGTTTGAAGCAGAAGACCAGCAGGGGGCGGCAGTGGCGTAGCGTGGGGGGTGCAGGGGGTGCCGGCCGCACCGGGCGCAACATCTGGGGTTAGGGCAAATCCACAGGTTAGGGGGCGCAAATCCACGGGTTAGGGGGCGCAAATTACTTGCCTTGCCCCGGGTGCTGACAACCCACGCTACGCCACGGCGGGGGGGGGGGAGGTGCTTCGTCTTTTCTTCTTGTGCCATTTCCCCCACTGAAAACTGCCCCACCTTCCAGCTTCTTTGTGCCCCCCTATGCCTGCTGGGAAGAGCAGGGAGCCTCCGATGAAGCTGAATATGCTGAAGGATTCAGGAAAGACAAACGAAAGCCCTTCTTTCTGCAGGGCATAGTTTCGACCATGGAATTTGCTCCCACAGTATCAGGTAGCTTTAAAAGAGGATTAGACTCCTTGATAAGCCTAGCAATGGCTACAAGCCATTGCAGGTGGGAAAACGGCTGTCGCACTTAGATCCTGTTCGTGAGCTTCCCATCGGGGCATCTGGTTGGCCAATGTCAGGACAGGATGCTGCGCTAGGCAGGGCTTTGGCCTGATTCACCAGTGTTCTTGTCTTCTCTTACAAGGAAAATATTAACAAGACTTGCGTACTTCCCTAAGGAAAATAAAATGTGTGTTTTGGAGGTTGGGGGCAGGTTCAGCAGGGTGCAAAAGCCTTGGAAAAGTCCTTATCCCACTGTAATCTTCCCCTCCCAATTACACTCCCGGCAGCTATTCCTTCATTTCCAGTGTTGACAGAATACTGTCCACTCGCAGAATTCCTTGGGACAGTTTACAAGTACAAATTTCAACTATAAAATGCAAAAATAACAGGAGCGTCACTTCGCCCGAGCCTCAGTGCCCATAAAGCACAAGCAAGGCATGTTTGTGTAAAAGCTGCTTCGTTGTTGGCCTCTCCACCAAACGCCTCATGTGAGGCTCCCACCTGGTGAGTCTGTGGCCAAAGGGAGATTTGAGCCAAATACTTGCCAGGTCAAGCTCTTGGCTATTTCACCTTTGTGCTGCCTTACTTTTGGGGCTTCTCAGCCTTGCCCCCTTCAGAGGTGCAAAGCTGTGCTGATGGGCCCTTGCTTCAGATCAGGAGAGGGGAACCCCAACTTTCTTAGTGGTGGCGATTCTCCAGGGTCTCAGACTGGGGACGCTCCCTGCCCTGCCTGGAGATGCTGGTGATGGAACCAGAGGGCCTACAAAACAGATGCTCCATCCTTCAGCTGCGGTCTTTCCCAACAGCTGTGGCCCATCCAGATGTTCTTGGGTTGCCACCATCCACAGCCAGCATAGCCAGTGGTCCAGCAGGGCAGAAGCTGGAAGTCCAACAGCATCAGGAGGGCTACAGGTCCCCTGCTCCTGGTTCAAATCCACCCCTGCCCTTTTTGGTGGGAATGCGGCTACATAAGAGCCTGACTGCGGGACAAAGCAATAGTCCAGCATCCTGTTCTCACAATGGCCAACTAAACGTCTCTGGGAAAAGCCCACAATTGGGACCTGAGCACAACAGGTGCGCACATTCGCATTTCGCCTGGTTTCTCGGCACTTAACTGTATGGAATGTGTGGTCCCTGCTGAAAATTCACGGCGCCTTGAGAGTCACGGAACGTTAAGGGTGAGAGGTTCCCCATCTATAGTTGATCTATAGTTCAACCCCCTGCAATGCAGGAATCGCAGCTAAGTTGGTACGATTGAGGTTCCAGTTATAGCTCTTCGGCTGCGAGGACTTGTTCAGTAGCGCTCTCTCCTGCTTGTGAGAAATGCTGCCTTCTGATCTTGGAGCGACAATACAGTCTTGTCCTCCGTGAAATTCTCTGACCCCCCCCTTTTTTTAAAAAAAATCAGTGGCCATCACTACTACTTGTGTAGGCAAATTCCATCGTTTAACTACAGTGGTACCTCGGGTTACAGACGCTTCAGGTTACAGACTCCGCTAACCCAGAAATAGTACCTCGGGTTAAGAACTTTACCTCAGGATGAGAACAGAAATCGCGTGGCGGCAGCGGGAGGCCCCATTAGCTAAAGTGGTACCTCAGGTTAAGAACAGTTTCAGGTTAAGAACGGCCCTCCAGAACGAATTAAGTTCTTGACCCGAGATACCACTGTATGGCCATTGCGAAGGACGGTCTTTTGTCTGTCCTAATTCTTGCAACATTCAGCTTCTCTGGATGACCCCCCCCCCATTGGGTTCTAGTATCAGAGAGAAGGAGAAAAAACATCTCCCTATTCACTTGCCGAACACCAGGCGTTAAGTATCGTGTCTCCAATTACTCACCTTTCTTCTAAGCTAAGAAGCCCAGAATGTTCTAGCCTTTCCTCGTATGGGAGCTGCTCCAACTTTTCCTAGCAGTACAATATCCTTTTGGAGGTGGGGTTAGGCCGGCTCTAGCATCTAGGATGGGTGTCTGGCTGGGAAAGCCTTCCTACCTGCTGGGGAGCCTTGAAGAGACTGAAAAGGACAAGGCTTATTCCCCAAAGATTCTGAAGCGCTTAGTCCATTTGGGAAGCATCCAGACACACATTTGAATCATTTCCTTTCCACACACATAAAAAACCATTTTACTAATTTTTGTTTTGTCTTTCTCTCCCTCACTCTGTTAAGCAGAAAACAAACACGGAGCCTTGCTGCGAGGTTCTAGAGGCCCCTCTGTGCTCTGAGATGCAGGGGGCAGTGGGAGAAGGGGGCACGAGTTCCACTGCCAGGCAGGGTGGTGGCTCAAAGGGCGGTTCTGGGGGGGGGGTGGCGCTCGCCTTTGAAGCCACAGCTCTGGCCCCCCAGTCGCAGCTCTGGTCCCTCTTCATCCAGTTGTGATGATGGGTGCTTCTTGGGGGTCGGGGAAGATGCAAAAGGCCATGACAGATCCCTTCCCTGGCCGCTGGGGTCGTGGCTTCTTGCCTCTCGGTTCCTCTCTTACACAGCCCAACCCAGCAGATGTTTCTGCAATGGAGAGAGGAAGAAGAGAGTGTAACCATGCACTGCAATATAGAAGATCTCAGGGGTGGGGGAGCGGTTTGCACCAACCTAGGATGCCCCGCCCCCATAAGAACTGGTAGCTGCTGTGAGCTGAACTTGAAAGCACAGAATTTCCTTGTTATTACTGGCTCACATCTGGAATCTCTGAAATATTATGAAGAGTGTTTTTAAGCATTAGCTCTACAGGGCTTCAGGCAGGGTGTTAGTGCAGGAAAGGGTTAAAACCAGAGAGCTGGGTTCCTAGACTCACTTAAGCCACACACCCTCACCTCCAATGAGGGAAGAAGTGAAGCTTCTCTTCCTTTCCTCACTCTCTTCGTGCCATGTAACCAACCAGGAAAGATGTACTCCAAGCTCAGACCGCATGCTTGAAACTATCTTCTGCATTTTGTACCCAACAGTATTCTACATGTGTGTTCCTTGCTATTGCATGGAACATTACATGAATCAGACCTTTGGATTTTGTAAGGAAAGCATTTTAAACTTACTTAGCAGTGTGCGGTCTGTTCATTGCCAGAGGGGTAAAGAGAAGGGTTGTTGGCAAACTGAACAGGATATATGAAAGGGTCTAACAGCCCATTGTTCCCATGCTATACTCCCACTTAATTTTGAGACTCTTCTAAACTCTGCTGGTGGCTCTCTCCCGCTAGAGTGTGTGTGATAGCCTGGGAATCCGATTCAGAGGATGAACCGGAGGAATCCCAGCCTGCACAGGAGTCCCCGCCTCCAGGGCCGGCTGAACTGGGGCAGGGCCTTGATTCTGAGGCACCTGCACCTGTGCTGGATCCTCAGGAGCAGGCACCAGGTGAACCCATTCTGGCTCCAGAGGTAGTTGAGGACTCAGTGCCTACAGGTGAGCTTCCCCCTGGGCCCAGTAACCCTTCAGCCTCTCCTGATCTGCAGAGGCGAAGGGCAGAGAGGCGAAGGGAACTGGTTTCTCCCAGGAGGAGTGCTCGCCTTAAGGCCAGGAGAGGCGGGTCTCCTGGGGGCCGGGACCACCCCTGGCCTCAGAGAAGATAAAGGCCAGTCAGCCCGGTCCCAGGTTGCGGGAGCAACGTCGTCATTGAAGAGCTGTTTCAGCCAGCATCCAGTCCTGTCCCTCCAGTGTTCCTGTCCTTGCCCGGCTCCTCGCTGAGGACCCCGCTTCACCCGTGGAGGACTGTCTGCCGACCCTCGACTCAGGTCCTGGACCTCGCCCCACGGTAACCTCCCCCCGGGACCAGCACAGTGTGTGTAAAGCCCTGCATTTTTTAATCTAGGGGTCCAGCCAATTATTTCATTACTTACCCACCCATGGGTCAGCTCTCTTTCTCCCCCCTCCCCATTCCTAGGATGAAGGTTCATTTGCCCACTCCAAAAGCCAGACTTACCCCTCCCCTCCTCAGCCAGGCAAGGGGAATTGCTGCTGCTTGGCTAGAACGAATAGGCTCCCACAAAGACGGTGAGCCGCAACACCGAGCTGGAACGGTAGCTCATCAGGGTGTTCATGGTGACCATCTCCAAATCCAGGACAAACTCATGGGGCCCTGTCACTGGCCGGGCCAAGACCAGCATGGCGCTTATGTTGTTGATTTGCTGTGGGGGAGAAAAGGAGGTTGAGCCTTGGGGGAGAGGGAGGGAGAATGCCAGGCCAGGGCCTAGTCTGTTCGAGATGGGCCTGGTAGCTGTTCAAGCTGGGAGTTTTTTGAAACAGACCTTGCCTTCCCACATATATGGTCCAGGGAAGAGGTGGGGGACCTCAGGCCCAGGGGCAAAATGGCACTTGTCGTCAGTTTGCATTTCTAGGTACAGAAAGCATTGACCTGATGTGCAGAGATCTTTCCTATTGGACTTAATTCAAAAGGGTTCTGGAAGCTTTTCTGTGTGAAAGAAATAAGCATGATGTTTGGGTTATTCCTTCGGAGAAGCTGAGTACAGCTGGCTTAAACTGGTTCTCTTATCTCTTCTGTCAAGGTCATGCTGACTATAAAAATAGGTGTCCTTCTGGTGTTGTGTTCTGTGCATGGTATGCTTAGTGTTAAGCTTTTAGACTTATTGTAAGTTTAAGTTAAGTCTGCTGCAACTGGATTTCTTATGAACAGGGCCAATCCTGCATGTATTGGATTTGTGACCATTATGCTCATTTGCCTTCAGTAGCAGTAAAGCTCTGCTGAATGAAATACAATTGCTGCTGGTCTATTTTGGGGGAATCCTGCAACAAGCTTAAGTTTTTACTCTGCTAACTATACATTGGAATCTACTCTGGATCAATATTGAGTGGAATTTCAATGGCACTTCTATCTGTCCCTTCGGACTCTTTCGTTGACCACATCCCTTACAAACTGTGATCCAAACCCTCCTTGGGTGGAATATGCCCATGAATTCTGATCTTCCCTCTTGTTTCCCTGGACAGAGAGAGGTGTGTGGAGTTGCTGGCTTACTGCACAAGGGATATGTTGGAATATATATGTAATAACAGATCAACGGTTAAGATGGCAGCTGTGGGCAGGGGCCGCTCCGATTGGCTGCTGCTGGGAAGCGGGGCTCACCCGGATATAGAACTCTCCTTGTTCGTTGCCCGAGCGGATCTGGAACGTGTTATAGGCGCCAGGGTAGACGCTTGTGGCCTGGATCTGGAATATGTCAGAGGGCACAGTTCGGTCAGCCGTGATACTCATGTATCGGTGGACGATGGAGGACGGATTATCGCGGCAGAGCGGGTTCGTGGCTGGGCAGAGGCAGCGGCTACAGCGGAAACAAATTGGGTTATGGGAGGGTGGGTGGAGGACAGTGAGGTGGCCAAGCTTGCCAAAGGAACTGAATTGTTCAGGGTTGTCAAAACAGAGAGAGATTGTGAAGAGCTCCAAAAGCACCTCTCCAAACTAAGCGAATGGGCGGTGAAACGGCAAGCACAATTCAGTGTAAGCCAAGTGTAAGGTGACACACGGCAGGGCAAAAAATATTAATTTCACATATACCTTCATGGGGTTTGAACTGGCAGTGCCACAGAATTGTAGACATCCAGTCCAACTCCCTGCAATGTAGGAATCTTTCGCCCAACATTGGGACTTGAACCCACAGCCCTGGAAATTAAGAGTCTCATGCTCTTACTGACTGAGCTACTGTTGGGAATGGTTCAGAAAAGTGAAAACAGAATGGTGAAGGGGAAAGAGCGACTCTGCCAAGAGCAAAAGGTTGCAGCATTTCTGACTTTAGAGAAACGGCGAGTAAGAGTTGACACGGTGGAAGTTTTATGCATGGCATGGAGAAAGCAGATAGAGAAACATTTTCCTCCTCTCAGAACACTTGTGGACCTCCAGGAGAGCTGAATGTCGAAAGATTCAGGAGAGAACAAAGGAAGTCCTTCACACAGCACATCGCCAAACTGTGGAACTTGCTCCACGGGCAGTGATGGCCACATCAGCCCAATTCACAGAGGGTTTCAATGGCTATTGGCTGTGATGGAGGCTATGCCACACAGGGGGGGGGCACTCCATGCCGCTGCAACTTTTTGTCGCAGGCTCCATTTGTGCAAATAAGGAATCCTGCTTTGTTCCTAAGAAAGCAGAGTACAGAAGAATCCCCTCAGTTGCGTCCAGGTGGTGACGCTAACCCTGATCTCCTATTTATGGTATGAGGCCAATAGCCTAGCCTTGTAATTTCACCCATACATCTGGTAGACTGCCTCTGGAGGCTTCATTTCGCTTTCAAAACCAATAGTGTTGTTTTTTTTTTAAAAAAAGTATCATACATAATACTACTTCCCTTTGAAGTATACAAGCTAGGGCCGTTTCCCAGGACTTGCTACAGAAATACACGTTGATTTTGCTATCGTTCAGATCCAGGATGGTCTTTCTCTCTCACTCCCCTCCCCAGCCCCCCATCCTGACCTGCAAAGACTCACTTTTCAGAGACTTGCACATATGGCTCCTGGCAGCTGTTCTTCTCCACGCAGCGGTACCCACCGTGAAAGTTGATGCAATTCTGGGACTCTGTGCATTCGAAGGCTCCCGTCTCACACTCGTTAATATCTAGGGTTGTAGAGGGGAAGGAGGAGAGGGAGTAAATAAATAAATAAGATGGCGCCAGGCATGTTTCTCTAGGGAAATCATTCCACTAGTGGGGAGCTACCGTGGAAAACATGATCTGTTTATCAGTTAACATGTTTTCAATCGAGTGGCACCCCTAGCTAAAGGCACACAAGGGGCCTGACCTGTGTCTAACATCCTCGCACAAACAACTTAGGATTCTATATACAACTGCTCATGCGCCAGAGGGTGTCCCCACCCCCACCCCGAGGCAGCTATGCCTGCCCCACACTTACCTTGGCAAAGGCGTGTGCTCAGCTGCTGGTAGCCCTGGGGACAGGCGCAAGAGAAGTGTCCCGGCTCATTGACACACTGGAATTGGCACAGGTAGGTGGAATAGCTACACTCGTCAATGTCTGGGAAGGAGGGAGAAGATTTAGGACAGGTTCTGGAGTCACTGGGCTTGTTTTTACTTTCAGGATTTCTGCTGCTAATACACACACACACACACACACACACACACACACACAGACATACAGAAAATTTAATAAAAATTATATATGTGTGTGTGTGTGTATGTGTGTGTGTACATATACATAAATATATATACAGTGGTACCTCGGGTTAAGAACTTAATTCATTCCAGAGGTCCATTCTTAACCTGAAACTGTTCTTAACCTGAAGCACCATGTTAGCTAATGGGGCCTCCAGCTGCCGCTGCGCCGCCGGAGCACGATTTCTGTTCTCATCCTGAAGCAAAGTTCTTAACCCGATGTACTATCTCTGGGTTAGCGGAGTCTGTAACCTGAAGCGTATGTAACCCGAGGTACCGCTGTATACAGTCATACCTTGGGTTACAGACGCTTCAGGTTGTGTTTTTTGGGGTTATGGACCGCCGAAACCCGGAAGTACAGGTTACTTCCGGGTTTCAGCAGTCGTGCATGCACAGAAGCGCCGAATCACATCCCGCATGTGCACAGACGCGCCGCTGCGGGTTGCGAACGCTGTGGGTTGTGAGCGTGCATCCCGCACGGATCACGTTCGCAATCCAAGCATCCACTGTATATGTATATGTATACGCACACACAATTTTTATTAAATTTTCTGTTTTACAATTTAAAGTATTCGTTTTTACATCTTTAAGATCTCAATGACTTCCCTTCTTCTCTTTCAATGGTTCATTTTACATATCATAAATCCCTGCATATTTTACAAAAACTATATCAATCAGTATTCCATTATTGCCTCCGTCAAAACTTCTTTACACTGTTGAATTTATCTTAATGCTGCCAGCCTTTTCAGCTGTACATAGTTACTTCCCATATATTCAATAAACATTTTCCAATCTTCTCTAAACATATGTTCTTCTTGTTCTCTTATTCTATATGTTAAGTCTGCAAGCTGCGTATAATCTGTCAACTTAAGTTGCCGTTCTTCTTCAGTTGGGACCTCGCTCGTTTTCCATTTTGGGGCTAACAAAACATGGGCCGCAGTCGTGGCGAACATAAATAACATTTTCTGACACCTGGGAGTTTCAGTCTGAATTATCCCCAACAGAAAGGATTTCTGCTGCTTCCTTGTTGCTCTCTTCCATAACTGGGCAGTGTGTCAAGCCTCAGGATTTGGGAATCCTCCCTGTGCCAACTTTGGGTTTCATGCCATTAGAAGCCTAAGATCTAAGACGGCTGTGGATGATGGGAGTTGTAGTCCAACAACATCCATGGAACCCAAGGTTGGAGAACTCTGGAGCAGGAGGGGCAGAGGCAGAGCTAGGAAGAAGGGGGCGGAGAAATGGGGCAGAGACAGAGCCACCTACCATTGCAGGTGAAGCCATCCTGGTCCAGCTCATAGCCCTGGTTGCAGCGGCAGATGAACGTACCGTACGTGTTGAAGCAACGCTGCTTGCAGGGGGCCCCCATCTCGCACTCGTTTACATCTGGAGGAGAGGTTGCAAAAGCTTAAGCGGGGTTGAGATGCCGTTGCCAGGTGGAAACGGCTGGCGGCAGTTTATGCATTTATGGGGCATGCAGGGAACACACACCTTACCACTGGGATAAGCGTTTTCCTCTTACGGCCTGTCGACAAGCAAGTCCCAAGCTATCAGGAGGCCTCCTGTTCCCTTCAAGGGTTTCCAGGCTGTCTCCTTCACTCCCCTTTTTATCCCTCAGTCCTGCAACTTGCTCCCAGCACACTGCCTCCTTCAAATCCTTCCTAAACATCCAGCTTTTCTGAGAAGCCTTTGGCTGACTGCAGGTGCTTGCAAAGTGATGCAATTTCTTTGCATGCAGAAGGTCCAGTATTTTTGGGGGGTGGACTAGATGACATTTGAGGGCCCCTTCCAACTTTGTGTATCTATTGTTCTGTGACCTCAGAAGGTGGTGGGATCTCCTTCCTTGTTTTTAAGCAGAGGTTGGGGGGCCACCTGCCAGGGCTTCTTGAGCTACAATTTCTTCACGGCAAGGGGTCTGACCAGATGACCCTTGGAAGTCCCTTCCATCTCTACAACTCTGTGATTCTATGGTTCTGTGTTTCAATCCCCTGCAGCATCTCCAAGTAGAGCGGGATGGGGGAGCAAGAAAGCCTTGCTTGAAATTCTGGAGAGCTGCTGCCAGTCAGTGCAGACAATCCTGAGCTAAATGGAAAGCTGGATTCCATGTAAAGCAATTTGTTTTCTTCCAGCCCTGCTTCATCTTTACCTGAGCAGGTAAGCAGAGCTTGGTCAAAATGATCCGGCAGGTGAAATGGGGAGTTCTAGTGGGCCTAATATGATCCTCCAGCCTTGCTTAACTCCTTAGCCTGACTGTAACTAAAATTAAGTAGTTGGGACGCGGGTGGTGCTGTGGGTTAAACCACAGAGCCTAGGACTTGCCAATCAGAAGGTCGGTGGTTCGCCAGAAGCGGCTTAGTCATGCTGGCCACATGACCCGGAAGCTCTACGCCGGCTCCCTCGGCCACTAAAGCGAGATGAGCGCCGCAACCCCAGAGTCGGCCACGACTGGACCTAATGGTCAGGGGTCCCTTTACCTTTACCTATAGCCACATTCATTCACATTCATTCCCTCCTTTGCCTCTGCCGTTTCCTCTTAGGAACACAGGGAAGATGCCTTCTACCAGGACAGGCAATGTGTCCATCCAACCCTTATACTGTCTACTCTGACTGGCAGCAGCTCTCAAGGTCCCAGGGAGAGAGAGGTCATTCCCATCAGCTGGGACCTGATCCTTTCTAACTGAAGAAACTGGAGATTGAACTCATCCTTCTGCCAGTGAGCAAAGGCCTTAATCCTTGGAACATAGAGAGCTGCCTTATACAGAATCAGGCTCTTTGTCCATCTAGATCAGTGTTTTCTACATCGACTGGCGGCAGCACGCCAGAGTTTCAAGCAAGAGTGTCTCCCAGTCCTATCTGAAGATGCCCCAGGTATTGAACCTTCTGAATGCAAAGCAGATCTTTGACTGCCGAACCATAGCTCAGATCAAGCTAACAGTCCACCTAGCCCAATACCACCTGCTCTGACTGGCAGCAGCTCCCCGGGGTCTTAAGCAAGGAAGGGTCTTGCCCATCATGTGCTTCCTGGTCCTTTGAACAGGGGACCTTCTGAACATGAAGCTTGTGTTCTTTCCCTCCACAACATTTGGCAGGATTTGCAAGGAACGGCAGCTCTCCAATAGGGTAAGTGGCCATCTCTACCAGGGCATCGAAGACCTGCGAGGGACCAGGGCAGGACAAGGACATTCCCTGCTTACCAACACATGAGCGGTTGTTGCTGGCCAGCTGGAACCCGGGTTCGCACTGGCAGGAGAACGAGCCTGGGGAGTTGACGCAGCGGTGCTGGCAATAGCGATAGCGGCATTCGTCAATGTCTGCAAGTGGGAGAAAGGAGAGGGAATCCTTAGCGGCTCTGATCCCCCTCCCGCCACCTCCCTGCTGTGCCTCTGAGCATGAACAGCGTCCCTACCCAGAAGAACTGCAAGAAATCATTTTCGGCCGGGAGAAACTCAAGGGATGAGGAGTGAGCAGGCTGTTATGTACTGAGTTGAATAGGATCCAAAATGCAGCAGTCTGATTGGTCCTAGAACAATAGGATCCAGAATGCAGCAGTCTGACTGATCCACAGGAGTCACCCAATCCAGCTCCAGGTGGAAGTGAATCTGCAACCTGATTGGCCTACAGGAGAATCCCGGAATTAGCCAATCACGTGGGGCTCATTGTGTAAATAATGTATATAAGAAGAAGAAGAGGAGTTTGGATTTGATATCCCGCCTTTCTCTCCCTTTAAGGAGTCTCAAAGCGGCTAACATTCTCCTTCCTCCCCCACAACAAACACTCTGTGAGGTGAGTGGGGCTGACAGACTTCAGAGAAGTGTGACTGGCCCAAGGTCACCCAGCAGCTGCATGTGGAGGAGCGGAGACGCGAACCCGGTTCCCCAGATTACGAGTCTACCGCTCTTAACCACTACACCACACTGGCTCTCAATATAAAGCAGACATTCTGGGGGAACTTCCTCCTCACCACTATGAGCTGAATAAAGAGCATGAAATCCACTCTCAACTCCGAGTATATTTCACAGGCTGAATGGCTTTGGAATGCCCCATGAGTGCTGGTGCCAAGGGGGAATGCAAAACAAGACAGGGGCAGAGGGAATGAAATGGAATATACAGGAAGAGGCTGGCCGGCCCTCTGCGCTGCAATATTTTGTTGCGAACCCACATGTTCCATTCCTTTCAGAGCCCCATTGCATTGCATGCAGCCCAAGATGAAGGCACACTCCCCGGCATAAACCGAGGACCACCCCATGGGCGCAGTCCTCAGGCACACTGACCCACACACTCTGTGCCGATCTTCCGATAGCCGTCCGGACACTGGCAATGGAAGCCCCCAGGCGTGTTGATGCATTGCTGGCTCGGCTGGCAGTCGTGTGAATCATATTCACATTCATCCACGTCTGAATGGGACAAAAAGAAAAACACAGCTGGGGCTCCAGCATGGCAGCAAGGGGAGGGGAGAGGGAGAGAAGGGGCAGGCTCCCAATAAGAGAGAGACAAACACAGAGGAAGGAGGTTGAGAGGCAGGGGGTGCACAGCCACTCTGCTTGCACTTCCTGGAATCAAAGTGCACCCCCATCATCCAGCCCGGACACTGAGGTCCAGCGCCGAGGGCCTTCTGGAGGTTCCCTCCCTGCGAGAAGCCAAGTTACAGGGAACCAGGCAGAGGGCCTTCTTGGTCGTGGCACCTGCCCCGTGGAACACCCTGCCAGCAGATGTCAAGGCAATAAACAACTATTTTACTTTTAAAAGACAACTGAAGGCGGCCCTGTTTAGGGAAGTTTTTAATATCTGTTGCTATATTGTTTTTAATATTCAGTTGGAAGCCGCCCAGAGTGACTGGGGAAACCCAGCCAGATGGGCGGGGTATAAATAAATAAATAAATAAATAAATAAATAAATAAATATATAAATTATTATTATTATTATTATTATTATTATTATTATTATTATTATCCCATTCACCAAAGACACTACAGCACCCAAGAAACACCCAGCCCCTCCTGGCTCATTTTTTTAAAATGCATGTCAGATATAGGCCGAATCACTGCAATAACTTCAAATTAAGTTGCACATCATCTTTTTCCTGCCCAAAGAGCCCCAGTCTGCATAGATTGTAAAGTCAGAAGGAATTCTCCCAAGGGTTATCTAGCCCAACCCCGTGCAATGAAGGAATCGCAACTAAAGCACCCTTGACAGGTGGCCCTATCCAACCTCTGATTAAAAACCTCCAAGGAAGGAGAGCCCACCACTTAAAAATGGAAAGCGTAATGCTGGTGGTCAACGAAAGACGTTTAAAGACTGTCTCAAGGCGAATCTTAAAAAATGTAGTACAGTACAAACACCAACAATTGGGAAGCTTTGGCCTGCAAGCGCTCCAGTTGGAGAACAGCCGTTACCAAAGGTGTCATGGGCTTTGAAGACACTCGAACTCAGGATGCAAGGGAGAAACATTCCAAGAGGAAGGCACGCTTGGCATATCCACACTGTGATCAACTCCCGCCCAGAAACCAATGTCCCCACTGTGGAAGGTGTGGATCCAGAATTGGCCTCCACAGTCACTTACGGACTCACAGTTAAAACTGTGTTTATGGAAGACAATCTTACTCGGCTATGAGTGATCGCCAAAGAAAGAAGAATCCAGGTATAGGCAAAGGGTAAAGGGACCCCTGACCATTAGGTCCAGTCATGGCCGACTCTGGGGTTGCAGCGCTCATCTCGCTTTCTTGGCCGAGGGAGCCGGCGTAGAGCTTCCGGGTCATGTGGTCAGCATGACTAAGCCGCTTCTGGCAAACCAGAGCAGCGCACGGAAACGCCGTTTACCTTCCCGCCGGAGCGGTACCTATTTATCTACTTACACTTTGACGTGCTTTCAAACTGTTAGGCTGGCAGGAGCAGGGACCGAGCAACTGGAGCTCACCCCGTCGTGGGGATTAAACCGCCGACCTTCTGATCGGCAAGTCCTAGGCTCTGTGGTTTAACCCACAGCGCCACCCGCGTCCCTTAAGAAGAATCCAACCACTGATTAAAAACCTCCACCACCTTCTGAGAGTGTCCGTTCCACTGTCAAACAGCATTTACCACCAGAAAGTCCCTCCTAATGTTTAGTCGGAATCTCCGTTCTTTTATTTTGAATCCGTTAGTTTGGGTCTTACTCACTGGAGGAGCGGAAAACAAGCTTGCTCCATCTTCCATGGGACAACAGCCCTTCAGATATCTATCTATCTATCTATCTATCTATCTATCTATCTATCTATCTATCATCTATCTATATCTAATGGCTATCATGTCCCACCCTCTCAAGTCTCCTCTCCTCCAGGCTAAACATCCCCAGTGCCCAGAGATCTCCCTCCTCCCTCACCCTCCGGGTTGCTGCTGCCGCCCTACTCACCCATGCAGGATCCTTGTCTGTCCGGCTCGTAGCCCTGGGGGCAGTTGTTCTGTACAAAGTACTGGGCCTGCTGGGGGGGCCTGGGCCTGGGGGGACTGGGGGGAGGGGCCCTTTCGGAGTTCACGTCGTTGATCACAGAGGCCGAGCGGGGGAGGCACAGGTACCCCCCATAATGGTTGATGCACTTCATCTCCCCTTTGCAGGCATGGGGGATGGTCTCGCACTCGTTCACATCTGGCAGGCGGGTGGCGTGGGAGGAAGAGGAAGGAAGCAGAATCAGGTGGGGGCAGGATAAGGGGGAGACGGGGGGAGGTGGGCACCCAGGCTCCCTCCGTCCTCTTGTCAGTTCCAGCTCGCTGTAGGAGACATCCTAGCCAACGCTGTTTCCACGTTTAGTGGAGGCCTTAGGCCAAGACAACCTCAGCGATGCCTGAACTCCTTGTCACTGTCACCACTTAGGAACCAGTGTTTGAAATTAGCCAGGCGCCTTTTGCACCTAGCTTCCAACCACTTGTGACCAAGCGAGGATGCCTGGGTGCCAGGATGGCGCATGACACCTCCATCATCTAAGATCTTGGTTCTGGACTGTTTTCACACACTAATCCCGCATGCTGTAGAATCCTAACACTTATATTTTATCTGCACAATTGGAATGAATTTGAGCAACCCAAATGCTTTTTTTCTGTGCAGCCAGAGCAGCGACTGTGCAGTCACTGTTAATAAACAGAAGTCGGAAGAGGCCAATATATATGTGGACTGTCTTTGGATCAAGGGACTTTTCTTCTTTAAGTTCTCAAAGTTCTTAACCGAAGCTTAAGGCTGTCATCTGAACCAGCCAGATGTTAATCAATCACAGTCAATCCATCTTTTGAAAAATAAGACTTTATAAGACTTTAGACATTCTGTTTTGGTGATTGAAACCTTGGTTTAAGGAGCCATTTGGTGCCTGGCTGGTGTATCTGAGCTTTTAACACTGCTGCTTACCCAGCCTGTGCCACAGCCTGAGAGCCACATTCCCTTCTGGGCAATCTCCTGAGGGCCGCAGGACAGCAGTGGTTGGACAGAGGTAAAAGTGGGCAGGGCTACAGATGTAAATTTTGCCTGTAGGCTGGTTTCTACAGACTCTCTCTAGCTTCCACCCAGGCTAGAAAGAGGCTTCGTCAGCATGCAAGGACACATTATGGCCAGAGAAAAACATTCAAGAAAGGTGGGGAGCCTGGGCAGTTAGGGGGTGTGGCTGGGGAGAGACCCAAGGGCCAGCCAAGAGAGTGCTGCAGGGCCGCATTTGGTCCCTGGGCCCAAGGTTCCCCATCCTTGGTCTCTAGGCACTAGGATGCCAACAAAGACACCCAAGAGGATGGGAGGCTCACCCCAGGTTGACCTACAGCCTTCCTCCCACAATGTGTATTATTCCCCCAACCAGGTACGAGGAAGAGATTTGCTCTGCTCACATGTTAATGCGGACACCACTGTACTTGCACTTCCTAAGCCAATATGCAAAATTCAAAATTCAAAATTCGTAGTCCCCACCCCCCTTGTTTAAAAATGTGGTTCTCCAACCAAGGAACGCACACAAAAACATGGGGGAATGTTTGGTGGGGAAATTGTGCACCAAAGTGAGAAAAGCATGCAAAAAAACTATGATAACTGGGAAAACAACATGTATGAAGGCAAACTATAAAAAATTTCATGTGCGTTTATACTAGTACACGCATTTCGGTCCACAGTTTGACCTCACGCATGTGCACAAATTTTCAAGAGGAGTTTTCTTTTTTAAAAAACACAAAACCTTAAAATGGAAAGAATAAGGAACCAAAAGAAACCCAAACTTTCCAATTTCCCTGTTCCTGTCCTCAACAAGATGGCTATCTGGAATGCCAGGCTGTACCTTTGCAATGTTGACTCTCTGCATCCCACTGGTAGCCGTCAGTGCATTCCTAGGGCAGAGGGAGGACATATAGGAATGAGTTAAAGATATCAATCAGGCCCCCGACTTGGGGACTACCATCCCCTTTGCCACACCGCAAGACAACCGGTGAAGGGTGCTCAGTCCTGCTTAAAACACCATCTTCTGTCTTGCAAGTCCTCTTCCTTTTTGGTCTACCCATGAATATTTAGTGGCCATTAAGAGCCAACGTATGACAGAACATATCGAAAATGTATTCTGGGGCTAAGGCCTGGCATGTGTGCAGCTCTAACCCAGAAACAACACTGACCTAGAAACCACCATCACCACTGCTAAGGCAAAATAGGGTGGAGCTCCTGCCCCTTTAATAGTAGTGTAGAACAGGGCTTTTCGAGGAGTGCACTATTAAAGGGGTAGGAGCCCCTTTCTATTTTCCAGCCTACGCTTGCTCAGAGGCGTTACTGTATATCCAGAGTTTTGTGCACCCCAGTCCTGTGCCCCCAAAAAAGTTTGGTGGAGGGGGGTACAGGGCCCCCCCTTCTATGAGACTGTTGGGCCATCTTAATTTGCGCCAAATTGTTATATCATCCTATACACTAATAAGGGCTCCTTGTGTGTAGTCATTATGCAGCCAAATCGGCCCCACCCACACCCAAGAGGGAGGGACCAGCAGGCTGGAGGAGGGGGGCAGACTCCAAGGTTTGCAGAACTACAAAAACATACAGTGGTACCTCGGGTTAAGAACTTAATTCATTCCGGAGGTCTGTTCTTAACCTGAAACTGTTCTTAACCTGAGGTAAAAGGTAAAGGTAAAGGGACCCCTGACCATTAGGTCCAGTCGTGGCCAACTCTAGGGTTGCAGCGCTCATCTCGCTTTATTGGCCGAGGGAGCTGGTGTACAGCTTCCGGTCATGTGGCCAGCATGACTAAGCCACTTCTGGCGAACCAGAGCAGCGCACGGAAATGCTATTTACCTTCCTGCCGGAATGGTACCTATTTATCTACTTGCACTTTGACGTGCTTTCAAACTGCTATGTTGGCAGGAGCAGGGACCGAGCAACTGGAGCTCACCCCGTCACGGGGATTCAAACCGCTGACCTTCTGATCGGCAAGTCCTAGGCTCTGTGGCTTAACCCACAGCGCCACCCACGTCCCTAACCTGAGGTACCACTTTAGCTAATGGGGCCTCCCATTGCTGCCGCTCCGCCGGAGCACGATTTCTGTTCTCATCCTGAAGCAAAGTTCTTAACCTGATGTACTATTTCTGGGTTAGTGGAGTCTGTAACCTGAAGTGTCTGTAACCCAAGGTACCACTGTATTTAGAAAACAAAACCGGAAAGGGTTGGAATGAGGGGCTCCAAAGCAGTCCAGATACCCAGATAGCATGGAATGCTTACTGACTATTGAGGGTTTAGGGGAACTCTGTTGGGGGTGGGAGGGCGATGGAATGGAGTATCCTGCAAGGAGGCATGGCTGGCTTGGCAGCTGGCACCCTATAAACAGAAGCACTCCACACTGTGACATGTGACATTTGTAGCCCACCTTTCCTCCAAGATGCTCAAGGTAGCATCCTCCCTCCATCTTACCCAAATAACAGCCCTATGAGTTACGCCATGGTGAGAGATAAAGTCTGTGGCAGATGATGCATGAGCTTCACGGCCAAGTGGGGATTTGAACTCAGGTTCCCCCTGTTCTCCTAGTCCGCCACTTTCACTGCCACGCTGGCTCTCTAGCCCCTGTCATGCTCCACCCCAGATGAGGATGCATCACTTGCATCGAAGCTGAGCAGCATTAACAACCACCTCCCGGGCGCACCTCTGTGTGTGTCTGCATGCCTGTGTTGCAGCTGGAACCCCTCCTGCCCTACAGCATCCACTCCGGCATGGTGGGAGGCCCAGGCCATTTACCGTGTAAGTGTCGGGTTCCTCCAGTTCCTGTGAAACTGCAGCTCTCAGAAGCGTTGCCAAGAGGAGACATGAAACAGACCTCATTGTTCTGCCTGGGGGAAAGGAGGCCGGTTAGAGGTTAAGGGCAGTGACAGCACGCAGCAGTTATTTGCCCGAATGGTAGGCAAGACGCAAAGTGGGGTGGCAAGTGACCGCCTTTCTATGTCCCAAAAGGGAGGCTGCTTTTTGGCTGCTCTCCATAGTACTGAGACACTAAGAGCCTCTGTGCATGTGCAGAGCACATCTCTCCCCAAGAGAAAACCTTTACAGGGCTGAGCGGGACTGAAAAGCAGAAGAATGGGTGGATATTACGCCCAGGTGGCAACTCAAGGTGCTTGTACCCAAGTTGGGGATAGGCAGGCTTCTGAGTTCTCAGGAGCTGTTCATAAGGTAGAGTAGAAAAGGGGGGAAACTGAAATACAAGATTTTAAAGGAAACGATCCGCAGAGTTCAGTGGCCAAGCACCTGCTTTGCATGCAGTGCCAGAGGGCTGCAAAAGACCAGTTTCTGCACACAGACCTCTCTCTCTCTCTCTCCTTCCTTCAATGCAAGCAAAAGGCAGGGGCAGAATTTACCGTACTTTTCCGTGTATAAGACTAGGTTTTTTTACTTTAAAAGAATGTTAAAAATGGGGGGGTCTTCTTATACACGGATAGTAATATTTTCATAATTTGGAGTCCCCCAAAGTAGGGGGTGTCTTATACATGGAGGCGTGTTATACACAGAAAATTACGGTATATTCCAGCTAGGGCAGGGGTCTGCAACCTGCAGCTCTGGAGCCGCATGTGGCTCTTTTACACCTTTGCCGCGGCTCCGGGGCGGATACTAGCAAGGGGAGGAGGCGCATTGTGCGCCCCGACACTCCCCACTGTGGCGGGCGCTGTACTGGCTGTGACGTCGCATGGGGGCGGTGCGTGCGTTAGTCACGCACCGTCCCGACATCACCTTCCCGCCCGCCCGCACGCTACATTGTAAGGGGCATGTACGCTGGTCACTGCATTGAAAGGGGGCATGTACGCTGGTCACTGTTTTGAAGGGGAGTGAAGAACACACACCCAAAAAAAGGTAACTTGTTAATTTAACGTTTATTTCTATGAGGAGGAGTAATTTTGAGGGGTCAAACAAAGAAATAATAAAAAAGTGACAAAAAAGTTATTTTTATAATGACGAGTTTTGCGGCTCCCAGTTTTTTTTCCTTCGGAAACAGGTCCAAGTGGCTCTTTTTGTCTTAAAGGTTGCAGACCCCTGAGCTAGGAGAAAGGGGGGGTCGGAACTAAAGGAGGGTGCAAAGCATAGGCAGTGAGGGGTGTGGCCTGCAGAGAGGGGGTGTGGCTAGGGAGAATGTCCTCTCTCCAGACAAGCCATGAGCTAGTCTCTTAGCCAGTGTATGATGCAAAGTCCACTGTAATCCCCACTGCAGCTTCCAGTGAAGTACCCCAGAAAAGTAAGTACAGGGAGCTCCCAGCTCCCAGGGATTAGAAGAACAAGCTTCCTGATCCAGACTTAACTTCAGAATCTGCAGATCAACATTTTATATGCGTGGGCAACAATTTAGAAATGATCACTGCGATTTAAAACAGAAATCTAATATATCTTACTGTAGAAGCAAGGATGGCTGCGACTAGGGTTGCTTCCAGAGGGGTGTTTATTGCAGGAGTGGTGCTCTACTCACTCATGCAAGCTGTTCGCAGTGCCCACATGACTGCGTTGGCATCAACATAAAAGGTAAAGGTAAAGGGACCCCTGACCATTAGGTGCAGTCGTGGCCGACTCTGGGGTTGTGGCGCTCATCTCGCTTTATTGGCCGAGGGAGCCGGTGTACAGCTTCCGGGTCATGTGGCCAGCATGACTAAGCCGCTTCTGGCGAACCAGAGCAGCGCATGGAAACGCCGTTTACCTTCCTGCCGGAGCGGTACCTATTTATCTACTTGCACTTTGACGTGCTTTCGAACTGCTAGGTTGGCAGGAGCAGGGATCGAGCAACAGGAGCTCACCCCGTCGCAGGGATTCAAACCGCCGACCTTATGATGGGCAAGTCCTAGACTCTGTGGTTTAACCCACAGCGCCACCCGCGTCCCTTAAGAAGAATCCAACCACTGATTAAAAACCTCCACCACCTTCTGAGAGTGTCTGTTCCACTGTCAAACAGCATTTACCGCCGGAAAGTCCCTCGTAATGTTGAAATATGGGCTCCCAAATTTGCAGTTCAGGTGCTACTAACAGTAGAAGGACAATGGCAAGGCCCTCTCATGCTCACCCTTCTTTATTCTTGCACTGGAATTGGAGCAGACAACTCCTCTATTTTGTTTTGTTTCTTTATTGAGCTAACCACAACGACAGCAAGAAAAAGACACATCAGGCTGGTACCAGAGAATAAAAGGCTGGGTATACTTTTAAAGGTAAAATAAAATAAAACCCACTGCTGTCATGGGTGGGATTAATCTTTAAAGAGGAAAAATATATTTTTTACTCAACCCAATCCATTGATAATAAGCAGAGGGAGGTAACAGACCATGATATATTTAATAAAATCAAACCAAACCCCTGAAAATCTATCCTTTTCGCATTTTCCCTCTGGAAATGCATAGCTTGTTGGTCAACTTTTCTAAATGAAGTTCCCAAACTTCAGAATACCAAAAAGAAGTATTGGCTCCATTTGGATCTCTCCAGAAACGAGCCATTGTGCCATCCCAAACAGAACAGCTAGCTTTTTATTATATACTCTAAGATCAGCTTCCTCAAAAATAGATAGCACTGCAAGGTGGGCAGGAGGAATAACATAGCAGTTCAAAATTGTATTGATTGCTTTAAAAACCATAGACCAAAAGGTTTGTCCCTTTTCATGTTGCAGATATCGGGCATGTCACCTCCCTGACTCGGATCAGGCCCCTGACTCCCTGCCAGGCCCTGACTCCAATCCAGCTCTGCCTCCTCCTCCTCCAGCCTTTCATTAAAAACAGAACAAAACCTGGCAAGGCAAAGATAACATTCCATCAGAGAGGTGATGGGGAACCTAGCGTAAAGAAGAGGAGCCGTGCTGGATGAGACCTATCATTGATTGATTGACTGATATACCACCCTTCATCAAAAGATCTCAAAAATAAAAATACAAGGAAAAAGCAACAAATAAACAGTTAAAACAACATAGCAATACCCCCCTCCCACAAACACATTTAAAAGGCTGTCAAATAGTAATCAGCCAAAGGCCTGGTTGATTAGGAGGAACGTTTTTTTGCCTGGCACCTAAAACATATAACTAAGACGCCGGTATCTCGCCCAGCACAGGGGCCAATCACATGCCCACCCCCCTGCAAACAGGATCGGAGGGCAAGAACAGCTCTCCTCCCCACTTGCAATTGCACCGTCCCCTGAGCACTAGAATTGAGTCAGTATCAAAGGAGTAGTTAGGAATAAATGCAGGTCTGGGTCTTGGCTTGTTATTGCAGGAATGCACCTCTTTCAGGTGATGAAAGGGCCCCGTGTGTTGAATGTTGCTTCAAGGCAGAAATGGTCTCCAGGCAGTGCTAAATATAACCCTTGTTTGGGCTAATGTATATATACCTAAAATACAGCCAACTCGCTGAGTTTTGCCTCGGGCACGGCTAAACCCCATCATCAAGCATCCTCTGGGTCTCGCAGGAAGTGTGGATGAGGCGACAGCCAGCCTCTCGGAGGAAAGCAGGGGTGCCGATGGTTGAATAGGGCACCTCCATGGGTGCCAAGGAAGAAACGAGGCCCTGGGAGTTCCAGATCACCAGAAGGAGTCTCCTTGGGGGCAAATGAGGACAGAGGGCGAGCGAGTTTCCACCACTGTCAAGTCGAAGGCTGCACATTTGTCTGGGACAAATGCGCCTAGCTGGGGTCACCGAGATGGCACCCATGGGTGCAGGACTTTTCCTGGTGCCCAGGAAGCCTCTTCCTCACCCGGTGCCAACTCCACCCTGGTGAGAACGGTGACTCACTCACCCCTCAAAATAAGAGCTGAAGTCCGAAGAGCTTTGCGTTTTTGCAAAGCTCAGGTCAGCAGGTGGGAGACAAAGAGCAAAGAGAGTCATGTGGGACATTGCGGGCAGGGGGAAGACGGCGAGGGTGCCCTAGAAGTCAGGAGCGAGAGAGAAAGGTGGACATTGTGCACAAGCCAAAAGACATTGTAATTGCTCTGGTGCACATAAACAGATTATTACTTCACATTTTCAGGACGGAGCCATGCTGGATCAAATGAAACAATCATTTTCGTTGGTTGGAATACTTTGTTCTTTTAATTTAGAAAAGGAAATCTTTTGGATAATGAAAAAATAAAACTGATTTTTGCAGTGAGGAAAACCGCATGCGACTAGAAACAAGTGTTCCTCACATTTCAAAAGCTTTCGTGTGTTTAGTGTTCTGGCAATGGATGTGTCGGAGTAATTCAATACATCAATTCCCTCTACTCAGTTTAGGATTTGGCAGAAAAACATTAATCCATTTCCCTTTGATGAAAAATCTCTGAGAATCGGGGTGGGGGGAATGGTTTATTGTTTGGTTAGAAGGTGGATGGGATTTACCTAATTTACAGCTATATTATTTGGCTAGCCAGCTGAGACATATCCTCTCTTTGATTAATGAGGGTGGTACTAAGTCGTGGACACCCCAAAAATCTGAGCAGGTAAATGGCATTCCCTTTAGTACATTCTTGTTTTTATCATCCAATCTTAAGAATAAAACTCACTTTCATAATAGGCTCTTACAAGTGACGTATCAGTGTTGGTACTGGTGGCTTGGAATCCTTGTTCAGAATCTTCCTCTAACTCCTTTGACTTCCAGAACCACACATTTGATTTGGGTGAGTGGAGGGTTAGGAGACTTTACTGTCTCTGTGATTTTTATTAAAAAAATAGCAAACCCAGAATGAAGATGGAAATGGAGAAGAAACTGGGGCCTACCTCTATCCCACGGTTGTCATGGCATCAAATGTTTGCATTTTTAAACAACGGCTCAATGAAAATGCACTGCGACCCATAAGTCGACCAATTTTGAGAGCTTAAATTATATCCACTTCTAATGACTCGAAGGGTTTGGTTTCTGGGTTATGTAAACTTTCACTGAAACAGGAACCGAATAAGCAGCTTGGTTTAAGATTAGCATGGAGCCAAGACATGGGTTGGGACCCAGAGGACAACACCTGGCAGAGAATGTGGGCTAAGCCCCCTCTCCACTCCGTTTCAGCAAAATGTAAGGAATTGTTCCTACATGCAAGTCATAAATGGTATATAACTCCCCAATGTCTGTTGTACATCAACCTTTCTCTTTTCCCAAGATGCTGGCCCAGTTACTGAATCATATATTCTTTTTTTTGGGGGGGGAGGAATAAAAGAAATCAGTTTGCTTTTAAAACTGCATTTCTTTTCAATCAATACAATTTTGATTTGCTATATTATCTCTTCTGCCCCACTTGCAGTGTTATCTATTTTTGAGGAAGCTGATCTTAATATACATGTGGAACACATTTCTAAATAAGTGCTATACGAAGTCCTCCTATTGTGATGAAAACAGCAGGGTTAAAAATTGCAGCCCTACCAAGTCGAATGTTACCAAGCACCACTGACAGCAAACTTTCTTATTTAATTCTAATTCTAAATATGACGACCTAATCTGGACCTAACACTGTTTTGCACCGGCATAGTTACGGTGAGGTACACCACAGCTGGGAAGCACAGGAGCCTCTTAACAACTCTCTTAGAAAACTACAGTTCCCAGGTTTATTTGAGGAAAGCCCTGGCTGTTAAGGAGGCATCGCTTAACATATATATATATATATATTGGTTAGCACAGGCTATAGATCAGAGGCCAACCTTCCCACCAGCTGAGCAGAGAGCACGCCAGAGACATTTTGGACTTTTTCACATGTGCAACTGCCACAGAGCCCTTCAGCTTTTCTCTCCGTACCCCCCAAGAAACTCTGTGGTTTCCGAAGCTGGGCTGGACAGCCCTGGAAGGCTGGCTGGCCCTGGGCGGAGGAAAACTTCGGAAGCAATTCAGGAGGGCAAAACAAGCCTAGACGGAGCCGCCACCTTCACCCAGCGAGAGAGGGGCACAGGGTGCCGGGGGTGGGGGCAAGCAAAGTGATCCCTGGAGAAGCCGAGATCCTACATTGTCTCCGATGTAAGAAGGCACCTTGAAACTTTTCACTTAGTTCAAAGGAAGCATCAGGTCTCTCTCCCCCTCCTCAAACATCTTTGGCTTGGCACAGTGAGAGGGGGCCTGCCTGGCACGTCCCACGGCAATGAATCTGGGCTCTCCCCAGGATGGGATCACCAACTTTGGGAGAGTGCGCAGGGATGTTTTCCTCTGGCGCTCTCTCTCTCTCTCTCTCTCTCTCTCTCTCTCAGGCCCCGGCCTTCTCCTTCTTCCTCCAGCCCCTTCTCCCTCCCCACCCCCAAACCCGACATCCCGTCACTCACCACGCTGGCAGCCGCCTGGCACCCCCCGGCACCCTCTCTCGCCTTCTCCAAACGCGCCCCGATCCCGGCTGCGTGCAGAGCGCGAAGTGTTAGGCGCGGGCTCCCTGGGAGACTGTGCGCTGGCTCCCCTCTCCAGCCCCCCACGCTGAATTCCTGGCCCCCCGCCAGGCAGCCGGAGTTGCCAAAAGGATTCCACCCAACATCTGGTTCCACTTAGCTCCCAGCGAACACCCTTTCCTGGCCAGCTGTTCGCAGCCCATCATCGCCCAGCCTCCCCTGCAAAGGCAGGGTTGAATCCCAAAGGCGCCGCGCACGCCCGGGCAGAAAGCGCGCGTTCAGGTCGGCGCCCCGGTGCTATGAGACCATCTGGCTTGGGCCAGGGTATCTCGCCTTCCTCTTGCCAGTTGCCCCACGGGCGCAGGAATCGGCCCAGGGCAGCCTTGGAAGCCTGAGCGCCGTCTTCGCAAAAGCATCTTTCTAGTCCTCAAGGCGCAAGAGCGGGCTTCGATGGATGGAGCGGAAAGAACTGTAACGAAATCTGTGAGCAACGACAGAAAGAGGACATCTTCGCCCTAGGAATGGCTTCCACTGCATTTCAAGGGAACTGCACGAAGGGAAATGTTAGATGCCATTGTACTTGATTTTTAAAAACCTGCTTTGGGGAAAATTTTCACAAATGAAATGAAATAAATATTAAGTGGTGTTTTTTTGTTTGCTTGTTTTTAAATCCCAATATAAATAAATTTATATTGGATTGAAAATTGCTTTTATTGTCATTGATTTTATCACATTTTATTGCTCACAGCACCAGTGATAGAGGTGGGTAATCCCTGCTCACCCTACCCATGTCCCTTGGGATGGGGCGTAGATTGGAAGGGGTTCAAGCATCACCGCATCGCAAAATCCTTCGCCAATAATATCTACCCCCACTGCCGTTTCTCCCTTGCCCTTCCATGGTGGCAATCCCAGACCCCCGACTTTCTCTTTCCATCTCTCTTCTTTCTGGTGTGGTGTTCTGTATATAGGATTAAGGTTTAGTCTTATAAGTTATTGTAAGTTTAAGTTAAGTCTGCTGTAAGTGGATTTCTTATGGACAGGGCCAATCCTGAATGTATTGGGTTTGTGACCATTATGCTCATTTGCTTTCAGTAGCAGTCAAGCTCTGCTGGATGAAATATAATTGCCGCTGGTCTGTTTTTTGGGAATCCTGCAACATGTTTAAGTTTTACCCTGCTAACTATACACTGGAGTTCTGCTCTGGATCAATATTGAGTAGAATTTCATGACATACACATGAAACAAACCTGTTTTTTATGGGTGGCGATGCTGACTTAAATAGGAATATGGGAACAGGCCTCATTATCAGTTCAGACCATTGCCTGATCTAGCTCAGTGAATGTCAACATTGACTGTCAGCAACTGTCCAGGGTGTCAGGCCGGGAATCACTCCAAGCCTCACCTGGAGATGCAGAGGACTGAACTCAGGGCCTTATCGCTGAAAAACAGATGCTCTAGCACTGAACCACGGCCTTTAGTCTGTCCCTACTGCCTCCCCAACTTGGGCCTGTGAAACTTGTGAAACTAGACTCCCTTTTACTCCTGAGTAACCGCACTTCTCCATACCCACAAAGTGGAATTGGGGTTGGTGGGTAAAAGGCAGGGCACCCCACCCCTCCACTCTGCACCACCAGCTCTGCCTCACTGCTAGGCCCTGCTCCCATCTGATCACTAGGCCTAGAATCTGGCTTCCTGCTTCTCCTCTGCTACAGAGAACTCCTTGCAGGCCCATGCCAGGTGCAATGATGGAGAGAAAACTGTTCCCGCCCGCAGGGTTGCTAGAAAGGAATGAGGAAGGGAGGCAGCTGGCTGGGGGGCACGATTAACGTGCCTGTAACATCCCGATTTCTGTCTCCTCCAGCAGGGCAGGTGCGCAGGAGGGGGTGAGATGTACAGGGTTGTACAGGATGTAAAAGGAAAAGTAGTCAGTGGCAGATGAAGATGATGGACTTTTGGGAGCTAGCCGATCTGACCGGAAGAGTCTGTGACCAGAAGGAGGAGTACCACCAGGAGGAACGGAAGAAATTTAAAGACTATTTAGCTAAATATGTTAAGATAACTTAAATGGAATTACTTGCAAGTATTGGATTGGCTTAGGATTTAAATATGTGATGCTATAGAATAATATGTTTAACGTTAAAATGATAATAAAGAAAAGAGGTTAATTGATTAAGTAAATTTTAGGGGAAATTAGTTTTGGAAAACTGCTACAATGATATATATGGAAATTCAGCCAGGGGGATTCGAGGAAGTCACCCAACAATGTTAACAAAAGTGGAATTATTACAGTTAGGATTTTATGTTTGCTTGTTTGTTTTTTGATGTTTTCTTTCTTATTTGTTGATAGGTTTGTTATAAATTTGGAAAATTAATTTGAAAAATTGGGGGGGGGAGGAAGAGTAGTCAGAACCCACCAGGGACAAAGGGGGGAAAACAGGCAAATTTACCTATGTACAGTAGGTCAGTTTCACACACAACACTCTATTCCCCCATGCAGGCATGCACGAGTTATTAATATTTTATTTATTGCATTTATATATCACCTTTATCTTCCAAGGACCTCAAGGTGGTGCATATCGTTCTCCTCCTCCCCATTTCATCTTCACAACCACCTTGTGAGGTAGATTAGTCTGAGAGGCAGTGACTGGCCCAAGGTCACCCAGCAAGCTTCATGGCTGAGAAAGGATTTGAACCTGGCTCTCCCAGGTCCTAGCCTAACACTCTATAACCATTATGCCACACTGGACACAAGGTGGCTTGGGGAGAGTCCCAAAGGCCAGGAGGAAAGGTCTTGAAGGATGCATCTGCCCCCTACCCCATGGGTTCACAGCACTGAGCTACATACACCAAGCGCCTGGCTCTGGGCAGCTTCCTATGTACTAAAGATGCACACCGGTTTGATGTGATGAAGAGAAAATTCAAGCTACCTCAGATCAAATGCTCTTAAGTAGGAAATGTGGGAGTCGGGGAGAGGGACTATGATTCAGTTTACATTTAAAAGGTGAACCTATCCAATCCTCCACTTTCCAAAACTATACGAGAAGCGAAACACAGACAGCCTTTGAAATCTGCACCTCTCCAAATTTTGCAATGTCCAGGCAAGTTATGTGTATAAAAAATGCACAGACTGAGGGAAAGCGTGCATGGGTTCATGAAAATAAAAACCAAAACCAAAACCCCGCAATATTAGCAAAAAAATCGCTTTGCAAAAATGTGGGCGTTTGGCAGAATCGCATACAAACATTGGAGATGAGGAGAAAGTTACATCATAATGCTAGCGAACAGTTTGCAACAAAATATTGCAAATGGTTGTGGAAACATGGAGAACGTAACTCAACATGGGGAAAACAAGAAAACAAGAGAAGGAAAAATAGATAGATTTGCCGTGGGGCCTATTCACAGTCAGGCCATCCAGAATCAGACAAATCAAGCAACATCCGTGAGGACTCCTCCTTTATTTCTCAACGCCAACAACAGTTTTAACCCTTAATTGCTGAAGATGTAGAGAGAAAAGAGTGACACTTGGTGGTCGCGCCGTGTGTGGACACACAACTGTGTGTGTCTGTGCAGGACAGCCGCAGCCAGCAAGCAAACAGCAAACGTCTCCCCTGAAGAAGGTCTCCGGGTTCTCTTTTGCCTGGAACTTGTTGCACCTAAAGGTGATTTCCTCCGCCCCCCAACAAAAAATAATAATAATAAAGAACTAAGTGCAGAGCTCAGTCGTGGTACATCTTCAGAAGGCAAGCTTTCAGCGTCCCCATGTATCTTTCCCAGAGAGCTTGATGCCTGCAGGAGAAGGGGAGGGGGAAAGAGGTTAACCAGACGGCAGGAAAACATGACCTGATGGCCGCCATCTTGGTTGGCTTTAAGAGGGGATTTGGCAAATTCATGGAATGGAAGGCTGCTAATCTGTGGCTACCAGCCACAATGGCTATGTTCTCCCCTCCACTGTTGGAGGCTGTTAAGTTTCTACCGGTTGCTGGGGAGAGTCGCCATGGCACACAGGTCCTGCTTTCAAGCGTCCCATTGGCATCTAATGTCCAGAATGAGAACAAGGATGCTGGATTAGATGGGCAATGGGCCTGATCCATCAGGGCTTGTCTTATGAGAGGAGGACAACAGCCTTCTCCCACTCTTGCCTCCCAATAACTGGTATTCAGTGATACTGGCACAGTGATCCTGCAGTTAGCGCATCACCTTGCCCTCCAGCAACTTGTCTGAGCTTTTATTGTTTATTTATTTCATAAAATTTATACACTGTTTGGCTGTAAAAAAAAAAATACTACAAAAAATTAAACACCCTCAAAGCGGTTTACAAAAGTTGAAGCAGTAAAATGCAAGGGGGGAAAATCACAACACTACTTTTAAAACATACAATAGTTAAAATACTAATATGGATTAAAATGACCTCAACCTCCTAAGCATCTTTCTGAACAGCTTTTTAAAGCTGTCCAAGCTGGTGGTTATCTTGTGTTAGCAGATCCCACAGTTTTACTCAAAAGGCGTGGGTCTTTTGCAAAAGTTAGCCCTACTTATAGAGTAGACCGGTTGAAATTAATGGACATGGCTAGCTTAATTCGTGTCAGTGGACCTGCTTTAAATACAACTTATTTGGAAGCGATCCTGTGTGAGAAAGGGAGAAAATGTTTTTGCTGGAAGACTGAGAGTGGGATCTTTCCCCCTTAAAAAAATAATAATACGGAGGGGGGCTGTTTTGCAGGAAGAAGGGCAAGTATAAAGGCAAAGAAAAGGACAATTATATAAGGCTTTACTAGTGCAAGTAAACAATTCATTTGCAAAGGTGGGGAGGGAGGGAACAGAGGAGAATCCAGGTGTTGGGAGCTGGTTGGGCGCTGGCGTTCCTACAAACCTGAAGGCATCCAGCGTGTGAGCACAAGCCGTGTACTGTGTCAGAAAGAGACGCACGTCGTTTGGGCTCCATTTGTCCGACCGAAAAGGCTCAACAAACTGCAATGGGAGATGACAAGCGTCAAGGCAAGAGTGCAGCAGCACATCTCACAGGACCTCAGGCCTGAGGAACAAACGAGGGCCTCCAAGTCTCTCTGCATGACCCTCAGGACCCTCCCCGCATCCCCTCCCCAGCCATGCCCCCTGTCCCTGGTCCACACACCTCTGTTTTTTTATCCCTATATGATTTTTTCCTAATTGTTGGCTCCTTGTGACAGGGACCTGCCTTCTTATACTCTGAAAAGTGGCAGGCATGCTTAGGCTCTAAACACATTTAATCATCATTTAATTCATTGGTGATTTTTTATTTTTTATTTTGACATCCCAGCCTCCATCCCCAGTGATTCAGGCACGATCCACTGGCGGGAGGGGGTGCTCAGATGGGGAGGGGAGACTGCTTACCTTCTCCACCAGATCCACAAAAAAGTCACGGACATCTTTGCTGTGGGTGAGCTTTGAGGCAATATTGATCAGGGCTCGGGATAGGTTCTGCAAGGGTTAACGGAAGGGTCACAAGAGAGCCTTCTTATGCTGCTGCCAACCCCACCCCAGTTTGTGTCTGCAGGATTGAGATTTTCCAAAGGACAACAGCCCCCTCTGATGGCCAGGAGTGAAGTAGCAGGCCAAATGCACCAACAAATATCAAGCGCAAAGTTCGCATCAGCCACTTGGAGGGAGGGAGGAGCTGCTGGAAAGAGGGTCCCGAAACTAAAGAATGTATCCCAGTGAGGGTCCCTCCATGCCATACCTTGAAATTAGCTTCCACCTCGTTGTACACAGAAATCTTTCCCCGCAAGGCTGTGCACACCAAACTGGATGGGGAGGGAATAAGGAGGAGAGGTTAGAGAAGGCCTTAAAAGTCTTATTTTACGGTGGCTTAGGGCTCTAGAAGCAGGGTGGGGGTTCCTGGGGCCCTCCAGAAGCTACTGCACTCCCATTGTCCCTGGCCATTGGCCATGCTGGTTGTGGCTGATGGGAGTTGTAGTCTAACATCTAGGAGGAGACGTAGGCTCCCTGCAACCCGGGCTCTAGCCCTGAAACCTCAAAGGGCAAATGGCAAAGTGCCAAATTCCCCTTTGCTCCAACCACGCCCTGGTTGTTTTGCAAACAGCCCCCACCCCACTCGGCTAAGGCTGCATCCGAGGTACCTCTTGTGCAGATCTAACAAGTCTTTGTCAGCAATCAGAATCTTTAGCTCCTTCAGGCCCTGCAAGAATTCCTTGTCCAGGTCGACATCCATATCATCCACATTTGTATCTGCCAAGGCAAGACAGAGGGCATTTGGAGAGAGAGGCTGGACACAAATGGGCAAATGCCCAGGTCTCCCAGGGAGGAGACATTTTGCTCTTTCTACAGCCCTTCTGCTTCTGAGCTAAGTCACGGTTTGACTTAGCATGGCGGTGGAGAATCGATGACCCAAAGGCCGAACTTAGTCCGCTGGGCCTTCCCAGCTGGACTGTGAGACTGTTTCCCTCTAGCCATGTCCAGCAGCCTGATGTCATAGGCGATGTCACAGAATTGTAGCATTGGAAGTGACCCCAAGGATCATCTCGTCCAACCCCCTAAAACGCTGGAATCTTTTTGCCCAATGTGGGACTCAGACCCACGACCCCAGACAGCGGTGCAGCTGGATGAAGCAGGATTGAGCTGCCTGCATGTCAGATGACGAAGGAGGAGTTAGGAGCAATCTCCCTCCTGACCCCCCACGAGTCAACTTTGACAGGTGGGTGGTCCCACTGACCTTGCAAAGTAGACCTGCCGAGCATGTGTGTGTGATGGGGCTGGGAGCAGGGAGGTGAAGATCAAAAAGGATTCCCCATCCTACTTGGCATGCCTGCACCCACAATTTAGCTCCCTCCAGACAAACCACAAATCTTTTCCAAGACAGATATAAGGAAAGGTGGCGTAACTTCCCAGTTTCCGCTTCACAAATGCGAGGACGAGAATCTTGCTACGTGGGTCCAAAACTCACCCACCGCCCCCAAAGTCCAGTTCTGAATCATCTGCTCAGCACAGTACGCAAAGTCTTCAAACGTCAGGTACTGCAGCTTCTTTTTGCCTGTCTCAAATCGGCTGTTGGCGAAGAAAACGATGGCTGCATAGTCCCTGTGGGGCGGACGGACAGATGGAGGGGAGGTTTAATGCTACTAAGAAAGCCACTCCACTAAATCTCAGCCATTGCCTCCCTGTCACCCCATAAACCTTTTTTGTGGAACATCCTAGACAAGTCAAGGGCCTCACACCACCATGTTGTGGGGCTCCTCTGAGTGGCTAGCATTAGCCTCTGCTGCTGTAAGGAGCTGGGCTGTCCCCATAGAAGGTTGTTATGTCTGATGTTTTGTACAGCTGATTTTAGACACATTTCTTAGGTTGCCTGAACATAAACTGATTTGCTACCTGCCCTGAGATCGGAAGATAATATATTTAAATATACTGAAATGAACAAACAAAAATCCCAGGGCACAGTGCCCTCCCGCTGCCCCTTACCCGGCTAACCGGTCAGAGAGCAGGAAATGCTGCTGAATGTTTTCCACCAGAGACCCACGGAGCTCTTCCACGGCCTTAAAGACCCGCTTGAAATTGTCAAACTGAAACAGAGCAGAAACAGACAGGCCTCATCGACACCACAGGCTTAAATAGGTTCAACAGCCTCACCAAGGGAAACGCAGGACTAGCAACCTCTGATAAATATTTTGAGAAAGCGGGTGGTTGGAGTTGTAGTCCAGAACAAGCGGAGGGTGCCAGGTTGGGGGAAAGGTGCCCTGTGAGACATTCCTACCCTTCTGACACCCAGGCAGTGCCCTTTTATTTCCACCCTGCCCAGGCATCCTGGGAAAAGAGTCAGAGGTGTTCCATGGGGTTCCCCTGCCACCCACAAAGGGACGAGAGATTACCTGCCGCCGACAACTCTTGAGGGTCACCCCGGTTTTGACGCTGATGTCGTCCAGGTCTTTCTTGGTGCCTTTGGAGAGCTTTTTGCCCAGCACCTCCCGTACAAAGGCCTCGTCGAAGGCGTAATACCTGCCGCCAGAAGGGGCAGGCAAAGAAGAGGACAAGACAACAGAAGGTAAGCTTAGTACCTGTGGCCCTCCTGATACAGCCAGACTACAACTCCCATCATTCCCTGCCGCCCTATATTGTTTTATAGATGCCGTATGGATCTGTTAATACACCTTCTGCTGCAACTGAGATGCTTAGCTCATTTTTAGTTACTGTTTTGTCAATAGCGTTGATATTGCTTTATAGATAAACACCATATTGATCTGTTAATCCTATGACTTTTGCTGTACTTCTGACTCGCCTTATTATTAGTAACTGCTGTGTCAATAGCGTTTCATAGATTGTAATTGTTTTATTGGTGGTTTGTTAATTATTTTATATGGTTTGTTCTGCACAGGTGATGTTGTATCATGTTATTGTTATTTATTGTTTGTAAGTGGCACAGAAATTCATACACACACACACACACACACACACACAGTCAAACCTCGGCTCCCAAACGCCTCCGTTTTGGAACGTTTCGGCTCCTGAATGCCACAAACCCGGAAGTAAGTGTTCTGGTTTTTGAATGTATTTTGAAAGCCAAACATCCGGCACGGCTTCTGCTTGAGTGCAGGAAGCTCCTGCAACCTATCAGAAGCTGCGCCTCGGTTGTCAAACATTTTGGAAGCCGGATGGGCTTCCAGAACGGATTACGTTCAGCAACCGAGGTTTGACTGTATTCTTTATTGAAAAATAGAAAAGAAGAAAAAAGTGGCATAGAAATTCAATCGATCAATCAACCAACCCATGCTGATGTATGAATACGCCTGCCTCACCCTCCAACCTTTGCCTTTCCCCCAAGGGATCCTCCACCAAGAATCCTGCCCCAATCCCCCCTCTGGCTCCCCCTTAACATCCCTGCCCCCTCGCCCACGCCACCCTTGGCTTCTTCGCCAGCTGCCCTGCCCCACCTCTCGATCAGCATGGTCTGGCGACAAGGGGGGATCTGGAAGAGCAGCTGGTTCAGCAGCTTGGGAGGCGAGTGCAGGAGGCGCTCCAGCATGTAGAAAGTGCGGTAGTGGTCCATGGTGTCGCTCTGGAGCACGTCAACCGTGGCCCCCGTCTGCTCCAGGATCCCGCTGCGGATGCGGCGCGTCACCGCGTCGTTCACTGCGGGGGCAGGAGGCAAGTGTCTATATCCGGAAACATGTGATGGGTGAAATCCACAGAAGGGGGTGGGGAAGCCTGTCAGGCCCCTCTGGGTGCAGTGGGGTTGCAACTTACAGCAGCAGGACCAGGGGTCAGGGAGCTGTAGCCCCAAATCACTTGGAGAGCCGCCATTCCCGAAATACAGCTTATAACCCCATTCATGACTCTCTGCTACCACTTTCCTTCAGGACAATAGGAAGCTGCCTTATGTCAGGGCACAGCAATGAGTCTATCTAGCTCCATATTGTCTGCACTGGCTATCCAGGGTTTATGTTTTGTTTTGTTCCGTTGAACGGGCCTTTTCTGCAGTGGCTCCCCGTTTGTGGAATGCTCTCCCCAGAGAGGTTCAGCTGCTGCCTTCATTATATTATGGAAGACAATTTTACTCGGCTACGAGTGATCGCCAAAGAAGAAGACATCGTTAGGCGCCAGGTAAAAAATGTCAGCCAGCCGAACCCAATAACCCCCCTCCCAACACATTTTTAAAAGGCACTGGGTGTTAATCAGCCAAAGGCCTGGGTAAAGAGGATTATTTTTTGCCTGGTACCTAAAGGCGCATAATGAAGGCACCAGGAGAACCTCCCTGGGGAGAGCATTTCACAAGCGAGGAGCCGTCACAGAAAAGGCCCGTTCTCGTGTTGCCACCCTCCAGACCTCTCATGGAGAAGGCACATGAAGAAAGGCCTCAGAAGATGATCTCAGGGTCCAGGTAAGTTCATATGGAGAGAGGTATTGTGACTACCACTGGCGTGCGGCTCCCAGAAGTCTGCCTAGAAGGGAATGTGGCCCTCAGACTGGAAAAGGTTATCCACCTCTGTGACTTAAACCATTACACCCTACCTGTGAATGAATGAGAGAACAAAAAACAGGGATCCAGCCTTACCCGTGTAGCCATCCAGCCAGAGTTGGTAGACCTCCTCATCAATCAGGGTGGTGTTGCCCACAAAGATGTCCAGGTTGCTCGTCATGGCCCAGGTAATCAAGTTCTCTTGGAGAACTTTGGGATCTGGCACTAGTTCCCAAACCGGGTCTCAGGAGATCAGGCAGGCAGCTGTCGGGACAATAATGAACATCATGAAAGCTTGGCTACTGGATCAGGCCAAAGGGCCACATAGTCCCAACCCCCTGTTCTCATAGTGGCCAAACAGATGCCTCTGGGAAGCCCAGGACACAAGAACACCAATAAATAGCCTTTCCCACAATCCCCACAACTGGTGCTCATGCTCAGGGGCATAGATCACGTCCACATCTTAGAGTCATGGCTTCCCCCAAAGAATCCTGGGAACTGTGGTTTGTTAAGGATGCTGAGAGTTGCTAGGAGAGCTGCAGTTCCCAGCACCTCTAATAAACTACGTGTTCAGAGTCACCCAGCCTGCAGCACTAAATCCTATGGGGTGGCGGAGAGAGCAAACCCCATAGCCCCCACCCACCCCATTTCCCCTCCCTCCCTTTTGCATAGTAAACCCAGCAGCTCCGACTCCTCCGGCCACTCGGCAAACCTGGGTCGGCTCTCGCCCTCCAAGGGAATCCGGGCGCCGAGCCCCTCTCCTCGCGCCGGCCATTCGCCCCCTTCCAGCAACTGGTACCGGCCCCCTTTCAGCTGCCCCTGAGTTGGAATAGAGCCTTTGCACATGACCCCGCCGGAGCGATCCTCTTCCGGGTCACGTATATGCCGGAGTCTCTCTCTGCGCACGCGCCCTCGCTGCCAAACGGGACGGGCACTTCATCTTTGTGACTGGCGCGGTATTGGGAACTGGCATCAAAGCGTTAAAGCGCGCTGGGATGCAGCGATGGGCTGAGGACCAGGAGCCTCGTTGCGCCTGCATTGGTGCTTTGCTTTTATACCTTCTCCGGGGCCGGAAGCATCATTTATTCGCTTGTAGCACATTTTTTTTCAGTGCGCAGCACTGTGTCTTATTTGCGTGTTTTATATGCGAACGCGGAGGGAAGAACGCAAGCATGGCAGGGGGTTAGACTGGATGGCCCTTGGGGTCCCTTTATTCCAACTCTCCAATTCCATGATTCTAAGACCCTGGCTGCTGGGGCCCGTCTAGTCCAGCATCGCTTTCTCACAGAGGCCAACCAGATGCCTCTTTTAGGATGCCCACAAGCGGGACTTGAGTGCTACAGCAACGCTCCCGACTTGCGATTCCCTGCGACTGGATTCAGAGGCACTTCACTGCCTCCGACACTGGAAGGAGAACATGGCCATCATGCTCAGTAACCGTTGATAGCCTTATCCTCTACAAATGTCTCTAATTCTCTGGCACCCAGCGGCATACCTAGGGGCTGTCTAAGTTGCCCTCCACCAAGGGTGCAGGCCCGGGGGGAGGGGCGCGCAAAAACCATGCCTCTCCAATCTGGCTTGGAGCGGTTAGTACAGTGGTACCTCGGGTTACATACGCTTCAGGTAACAGACTCCACTAACCCAGAAATAGTACCTCGGGTTAAGAACTTTGCTTCAGGATGAGAATAGAAATCGTGCGGCAGCGGGAAACCCCATCAGCTAAAGTGGTGCTTCAGGTTAAGAATAGTTTCAGGTTAAGAACGGACCTCCGGAACGAATTAAGTACTTAACCCGAGATACCACTGTACAGGGGTAGGCAACCTAAGGCCCGGGGGCCGTATGCAGCTCATTCGTCTTCTCAATCCGGCCCACGTATGGTCCGGGAATCAGCGTGTTTTTACATGAGTAGAATGTGTCCTTTTATTTAAAATGCATCTCTGGGTTATTTGTGGGGCATAGGAATTCATTCATATTTTTTTCCAAAATATAATCCGGCCCACCACATGGTCTGAGGGAGGGTGAATTGGCCCATGGCTGAAAAGGGTTATTACTATTATTATTATTATTATTATTATTATTATTATTATTATTATATCCCACCCATCTGACTGAGCTGCCCCAGCCATTCTGGGTGGCTTCCAACATATATGAAAACAAAATAAAACATTGCACATTTAAAAACTTTCCTACACAGGGCTGCCTTCAGATGTGTTCTTGTATAGTTACTTATCTCCTGGGCTTGGGGGTTGCATAACTCCATACCCTCCAACATTTCTCCAAAGAAAATAGGGACGTCCTAAGGAAAAGCAGGACATTCCAGGATCAAATCAGAAACTGGGTCGGCTTCTGTAAATCTGAGACTGTTCCTGGAAAATAGGAGGGTCTGGGCGAGGAGCCCACCTGGCCATCTGTGCACTCCCCAGGCCGCTGCTCTGGGTGGGCCAGGCAAGGCACACGGACTCCTCTAGGTGCCTCAGCAAAGGAATCCAGTGGCTGGTATATGGCACTATTAGAAGTGTGAACAGAGCACCCAGCGGAGCTCAGAGGGAAGAAAGATGGAGAGAGTGGTCGTGAGTGGCAGGAAGAAAAAGAAAGCAATGGAGGAAGGAGGCAGAAGACAAAGCAGTGAGCAGAGGGCAAGCAGGCAGATGGACCATCGAGGAGGAGGAGGAGAGGCAGAGCACAGCAGACCCCAGTGGCTGCGAAGGAAGTCACTGGCGCAGTGTGAAAGATGCTGAAAAGCACACTTTTGGAGTTTCTGGCCCATGGTCTCTCCCAGCTTCAGTGGCACAGATATATCTCCTTATGGAGGATGCAAGGCATAGGAGCCACCAATGCAGCTCCTTGGCAAGGCCACAAGGGAGCCCAGGTATGCCTCTGCTGGGGCCTTTGCAAATGATGCAACAAATCAGTTAGCCTCCGAAGCATTAGGACTGGAGAGAGAAACCCAATTGCAGCCAACGCCCTCCTCCTGTTCCCGCCCCCCAAGCACCTAAAATAATTAGGTGCCATGAACCATTAAGATTGAGATGTCAGATTCTCTCTAATGTCTTCTGACATTGTGTAATGCCTGCTGCTAAGCATGCCGTTAGGCTTTGAAAACTTCTGAATCTTCTGTAAGCTTCAATATTGAATAATAAGTCGAGATACAGAAATATGAAAGGTGCACTCTGAGAGGAGGACTGCCAGAAATGGCTAATTAAATACTTCACTCTGTTGCTGGACTCGCCTTCCTTGGAGGTTTTTAAGCAGAGGTTGGACATCCATCTGTCATATATGATCTAGTTGAGATTCCTCCATTGAAGGGGGATGGACCAGATGACCGTTGGGGGTTCATATCGGAGTTCATTCACATGCTTCTCTTTCGATGTGATCTAGTCTACATGCCACCATCAGCCAGCAAAGCTCATCTGAATTCTGCATAGACCAACAGGCCAGTCCCTAGAAATGCCCAGGAACCTGATCCTGTCATTAGGTAGAGTGAGGAGGCTGCTTCAGGAAGTTGCTTTTGGGTGCTGTGAAATGGCAGAGTTTGGAGCTGCTTTGCCATCTGTTGAATTTTATTATTGCGGTCACAGACCAGTTCCCAGCTCACTTACAATATCAGAAAAATCATAAAACACAAGAGAAATACATTGGATTGCAATTGGGTATAACAGAATCAATTCAGATATAGCAGCAGTTAAAAATATATATTAAATTTTAGGGATAGAGGGGCCCTTCTTGGAAGGCATAAAAGCGATTTATTCAAATCAAAGGGCTAAATTAATTATAAATAATAACCTAACTAATTCGTTCATGATTTCAAAGGGTACAAGACAGGGGTGCCCTCTGTCCCCTCTCCTATTTATCATGGTTTTGGAAGTTATTATGAATAAAATAAGGGAAACACCAGAAATTAGAGGAATTAGAATTGGAGTAAAAGAATACAAATTAAAAGCATATGCTGATGATTTAGTAATATCGTTAGAAGAACCAACAAAAGGTATAGACAAAGTTCTGGAGTTACTTGAAGAGTTTGGAAAGCTGTCCAGGTTTAAGTTAAATAAAGTCAAAACGAAGATGTTAACAAAAAATTTGGATGAAGATCAGAAAAACCAGTTAGAACGGCAAGCAGGGATTAAAGTAGTGAAAAAGGTGATGCCAGGGATGGGGTGCAGAGGGTGAACAGAGCCACTGGATTCTGAGAGGGTGCAAAGAGGCGCCTCCATGACAGATGTCCTGCAGAGGCAAGCCGTGCAGGGGCCGGGCCTTTGGGGCTGGGGTGGTGCCTCCTTCTCCTAAAGAGGCAGTGACAGCATGGTTGCCAGTGCCTGTGGCCATGTGGAAGGGTGGGTAGGAGGGAGGGAAACAGACGGAGTACGCATGCGCATTCAACCGCCTAATGGTGCCCGCATCACCCAGGAGGTCGCAGCCACAGAAGTAAAAAAAGGAGAGTCGTTCCATTGTTTGGAGAGGTCACTTTCTGGTTCACTTGAAGAAGCTGTTTTCAACGGAGCCCAGCGATGGAAGCGTGCAGCTGTATTGTATTGCAGCAGCACTGGGTGTTGAAATTGTGCTCCCTGAACAAATCTGTGCCCAGGGCAACTGCCCCTGTGCACCCGCCCCGCACTACGCCACTGTCCGACCCTACCTGGAGATTCCTGGTACCTTCTGCATGCAAAGGTGCTGCTACTACCACCGCTGAGCTTTGCCCCATCTCCCCAGTTATTCTAGAATTCTGCAAGTTCCTTGGAGAGCTTTTCAATGAAGCCAGCAAGTGCCATAAACAATATATCCTGCACTGACTGCCCCTGGCAGCACCCTAGAAGCAGTGCCTGACTTTGCTCTCCATGGAGTTTGTGGGTTTCTCCTTTCTCTTCCAAAAGGGGGGCGGTGTGCAGCATGTGACCCATTGCAGACGCGCCCCACATCTGATGGCACCAGTCCCAGTGCCAAAAAACCCAGCTGAAGACAAAGGCTTTTCCCACCCCCACGTCACACAGGCATTCCAGAATCTTGGATCTGTTCCCTCCCGCCTACAATTTCTGGCAGGACTCCTGTCCCATTCATAGCAGTGTGTCAGTGTAACAGTTCAACAGGTGAAGCTTCTCCAGGAAGCCCCTTGTGGATCAGGAACCTGTTAATTGGAGGAAGCAGCAAGCAGGAATAGGCGGACAGTTTTCTAAATGGAGAGGACTAGAAAATGGAATTCCTTCAAAGATTTGGCTTTGGGAACTTGTGCACAAACGATCAAGATGGGTGAGCCATGAGGTGGCCAACTTTGCTAGTGATACCAAAACGTACAGGGTTATTGAAACAAAGAGACTGAAGGTCTCTAGAAAGACCTCTCTCCTAGCTGAGTGAAAGGGTGGCAAAATGGCAAATGCAGTTCAATGTATACAAGTGCAAACTGGTGCATGTTGGCACACACACAAAAACCTGAACTTCACATGGGGTCTGAATTGGCAGTGACTGACCAGGAAGGAGACCTTGGGGGTCCTAACGGATAGCTTGATGAGGATGTTGACCCACTGGGCAGCAGCTGTGAGAAAAGCAAACTCCACTCTAGGGAACATTAGGAAAGGAATTACAAATCAAACTGCAGGCATCATAATGGTGCGACTGCCTTCGGAATATTGTGGTGCCCAGGTCTGTTCGCCTCACCTGAAAAAGGATAATGTTGGGAAAGTTTTGGAAAAGGGCAACCAAAATTATGGGGGGGGGGTATAGCGAGGTTGCAGCGTTTGGAACTTTTTCGTTTAGAGAAAAGACGAGCAAGAGGTAGCTTATTAAATTATGCAAAATGGCATGGAGAAAGTGGACAGAGAACCTTTTTTTCTTCCTCTTTGGAACTCATGGACAGTCAGCGAAGATAATGAATATCTTAGACCAATTATTTCAATCTGAGCCCCTGTAACCCTAATACTGTCCACTCAGAAGTAAATCCTAGCTAGCTGCATAGGGTCAATTCAGTGGGACCTGCCTAGGCGCAAATGCAGTTGAAGTCAACGGGGCTTACACCCCAGTAGACACGAACAGGGGAGAATGCGATGCTGCTGGAGTCCTGCCAGTTAATCCACCATAATTAAAGCGGGTGCGGTTTTCTCTCCCCCCCCCCCCCGCCGTCTCCTTTGCATTTTGGAAAGGTTTTTGCTTGTGCTGCGCTTTGGCGAGCCTCGAGGCCTTATGATGACTGGCTTCATGATTTTGTACAAGAGAAGCCAGGGCCTCTGAGTGATGGCGGCGGCGGTCTTCATTAATCCGGATTAAAGCCATTTGCGCGGCCTCTTAATCCTTCTGCCGGCGAGAGGGAGGCGCCCTGCCGGGCGCTTGGACGGGATTCCGAAGCTGCTGCAAATGCATTCCTGCTGCTGCTGCTTCCTTCTCTCTGCCAGCCTTTGCATCCCGCCACCGCCCCTCTCGCCCCTTCCAGAAGGGGAGTCCGCGCATTCACACACCCGCTAACGCTCCCCTATGTCCGCCCGCCCCCCTTTCTTTTCTCTCTCCTCTACCCCCACCCCACTCCGCCCCCATTCGGCGCAGGCGCCCCTCTCTCAACCATGCACCTGCTCCCCTACCGTTTAACCCGTGCATTTGCAACGCCGAGGCAGCGCGTCGGCTTTTGGCGTCGCTCATTTGGCGGGCCTCCCGTCCGTGCGTCCCGTTATCCCGGGGAAGCAGCAGCAGCAGGAGGAGGAGGAAGGAGAGAGGGGAATCTCCGCCGCCGGGCAGGATGTCCTGCTGCTGCTGCTGAGCAGGGCGAGGAGGGGAATCGTGCAAGATGTCGCTGCTGCTGCGCCTTGGCTGGAGGTGAGCGCGCCGCGGAGGAGCGAGTCCTCTGTGCGCCCCGGCGATGTTCCCCGCCGCCCGCGAGGCCGCGCCGCCGGCCGGACCCCCCCAGAGCCCGGAGACGCCTCCGACGACGCCGGGGGTCTGCTGCCCTGCCTTGGCCGAGCTGAGCGACGCCGAGCTGGGCGTGTGCAGCAAGGAGGAGCTGGTGCGCCGCTTGCGCCACGAGGAGGCCGAGAAGCTGGCGGCGCTGGTGCAGCGCGGCCGGCTCATCCAGGGCGTCAACCGGCAGCTGCAGGAGCACCTCCGCGAGATCCGCGAGCTGAAGGCCGTGAACGGGCGCCTGCAGACCGAGAACCGCGAGCTGCGCGACCTGTGCTGCTTCCTCGACGAGGACCGCCTGAAGGCCAAGCGCCTGGCGCGCCACTGGCAGCTCTTCGGGCACCACGCGGCGCAGGTGCTGCGCGACGAGGTGGCCGCCTGCCTGCGCAAGCTGGCCGGCCTCGAGGGCCTCCAGGAGCGCCTGGCCAAGGACAACCTGGAGCTCAAGGAGCTCTGCCTGGCCCTGGAGGAGGAGTGCGCCTCCGCCCGGCCCGACGCCAGCCCCAGCCCCGGCGGAGGCTCCTCCGAGCTCAACCTGCCCTGCGGGCCCCGCGACTTGGGCGATGGCAGCTCCAGCACCGGCAGCGTCGGCAGCCCCGACCAGCTGCACCCCGCCTGCACCCCCGACGACTGAACCCCTCGCGCCGCCCGGCCCGTCGACTCGGGTCAGCCAGGACAGGGCGCCCGGCCTTCCTCGCCTTCTCTTCCCATCCCCAGCCCCTGTCGCTGAAGATTTCACGCCTCGGGGAGACGAGAACCCGCCCGTCCCCCCACATCCCAAAGCAGGGCAACGGTGGATGCATTTAATTTATTGCTACCGGTTTTTTTCCGTTTTCTTAAAAAGTGGTTCCTGTGTGGTCCACGCTGCATCGGTGAACGCAGCAAGCTTCGACATCACACAGAGCTCTTGTTTTTTCAAAAAAATATATAAAGCCATAACTCTGGCCAGTGTACAGAGAGCTTTTGGATTGATTACAAGGAGGTGTTTCGTTTTTTTAAATAAAGCCATAAAATATCGTTGGAGGGCCCCTCCCACCCCCATCTTGCCACCCCTGTGGCTGACATCCTAACACTCCCCTGGAGAAACAGGGACTTCTAAATCGTCCCAATGGAAATGGGGCCATTGTTCCAATCTAGCAAGGTCGGGTACAGCAAGGGTCTCTCTGCTGCCACATTCCCGCTTTACCGGAGTGAGACCTTTATATGTCATGAACCATTTTGGTAGCGAGGGGGGGGGGAGAGGTAGCACGCTTTTGGAGGGGCGTCTGCAATTCCATGGCTGCACTTGGCAGTATTTAGAAATGGTGCGCTGATTCTGGCAGTGGGCATCCCCTCTTGAAAGGAGATGGGGGGTGATGAGCCTTTTTCTCCCTGCCCTGGAAAAATCCTCCATTGTGTGCTTCTCCTCCTTGTGCAGCAATAAAACTGCTAGGACCTTTGCAAAGCTAAGCAGGTTTCAAATTGGATTTCCTGCATTGCAGGGGGTTGGGCTAGATGACCCTGGGGGGTCCCTTGCAACTCTCACGATTCTGTGTGTACACGGGGTTGGAGGGGGATAGGGGAAAGCAGCAGTGATGATAATTTGGTCCTGGCTGCTTCGAAGGGAGGGGGTGTTTGGAGACAAAGCAGTGGTGCTTTTGTGGCGCCTGAATTTGGCTGGAGTGCCTAAGAAGGCAGGTTTCTTGTGCAAGAGGGGATGAGAGAGTCAGGCCACACTGCAGGATTTTTCAGGAACCCCCCCCCCCACTTTGCATGCTTCTGTCCCCGCTCCTCTCATTTATTGAAATTGGAAAGGAACCCAGAGGCTCAGTTGACTGGAACTGCCTGGAGGGAACACCAACATCCCTTGAAAGCAACACCCCCCTCAAAAACTATTTGGGAACCTCTTTTTGGAGCAGGATCCAAGAGGCTGCAACTCTCTCTCCTTGGAGGGTAGGACCTCAACAGGAACCATTATCCTGTTTTTGAAAATGTGCCGTTCTCCTGCTCCTTAGGGAATAAACAGGGATCGGGGGGGGGGGGAGTTGGCTGCTGGGTCCCCGAGCCAAGGACTCCCCGCAACTTGAAAGTGAACTTCTGAATAGCAATAGCTTCCATGATTCAGTTTTGACTGAGGACATGGTTAAACGTGGTGGTCCTTGGAACTCTCCTCCACTTGAAACACTAGGCCCTTTGTGGCGGGATATATGCTGGAAGGGTGGAGGATATTTCAACCTTTCCGTGAGGGGCTGCTGCGATGGTCCCCCGTGGAGAGAGGATGAGAAATTGTTGGGATGCTGCTCTTTGTTGGAGAAATGGTGGTGAAAGCAGCAAGCTTCCACCATGCACAGAACTCTGTGTGACGCGAGAGACCTGGAAGAAACGTCTGCCTCTGTTAATAGTGTTTCTTTTTGTCAACATCCTGGGACTACAGGACACAGAGGCTGGGGAAAAGGCATCCATGCCCCAGCCAGGTCTCCTTGCTCCATCTCCTTTCCTGGGTGTAGCAAATGGCGCGGAGGATATCCATTTTATGATGTTTATGTTTGTCACCCTCAGAATGGAAAGGATACACACACACGCGCTCCCGCCCTGAAAAGAAACCCAGGACTTAAGCAATCTTCTCTTTCTTTCAGGGTGTTAATAAATGTATTAAATTGTCACTTTTGGAGAGGGCCTCATTCTGCTTCGTGTATGTCCTAATTTCTGGTACTCTTTTTAAGCTCTTTTATCAGCCAGCTACTCGGTGTGGAGCAAATTGGGTGGGCGGGTGTGTGTGAAAGAGGGAGTTAATTTGTGTTCCTGTCTGGAGGTCTAAACCCCTCGAGTGCTTAGTAGTTCCATAGAGGGAAACTTAATTAATTAATTTATATACAGTACTGCTTATATTTAAACAAAACTCTTAAGCAGTTTACAACATCTTAAATAAACAGCAAGTGCATATATATATATATATATATGAATATAAATATAATTCCAGGGGTTTTCCACATTCTGTAAAACATAATTAACAACTAAACAGCATATTTAGGTTGCGCTCCTGCACACATTTTTGTAGGAATTCTAGCCGCATTGAACTCTGTGTGACTTCTGAGTAGGCGTGGATGGCTTTGTGTTGGAAGCTTGTGTGAAAACTATCCCTAAACTATTAGGAGTACTTTGCACATGTGTAGGGTCAATTTATTCCTATTTTGCCTAGCCTTCCTTGACCTGGTGCACTGCAGATGTTTTGAACTACAACTCCCATCTATCAGCTGGGGTGGTGTGGGGAGAATAATGCCTTGTGTTTTGTATGGATTTGAAGCTCAAGGAATGCCTTGTTACCAAAATGCCACACACACCCCACCCCGTAAAAGTCAATTCTAGTCAGCCAGTTTATTGAACATTCATCCTGGGTTTTGTGGAGAGGTCAGACAGCACTTCATCAACTCAAGAGTTATCCCGCATTTCCACATTTCCCTGTTACAGTGGTACCTCGGGTTAAGTACTTAATTCATTCCGGAGGTCCGTTCTTAACCTGAAACTGTTCTTAACCTTTAGCTAATGGGGCCTCCTGCCGCTGCGCTGCCGGAGCACGATTTCTGTTCTCATCCTGAAGCAAAGTTCTTAACCCGAGGTACTATTTCTGGGTTAGCGGAGTCTGTAACCTGAAGCGTATGTAACCCGAGGTACCACTGTCCTTCCCTTCTTACGAAAACACCGGGGGGGGGGGATTTTTTGGCTTTCATTCTGTACTGGCTTTCATTCTGAAACCTGAATTTGCCAGATCATGACTGCATCTCACACGGAAATGGCAACCGTCTTGGAAGCTCCCATATTTTGTGCGTGAAGTTAGTGGCAGAGTCCGTCCTCCTGCCCGTGTTTCAGCTGCTTGTTCAGGGAGGGCGGCGGGAGGGTGTGTGTGGAAGAGAGAAATGGGCGCTGTGCTTCTTCCTTCCTCCAGTACTAAACTTAATCCTAGTGCACCGGGGTCAGGAGAAGGCCAGGCATGGTGGGCTGGGGGGGGGCGGGTTGGATGGAAAACCGGATAAGAGAGAAATGTTCCTCAGAGGCCGGTGGAGACGGGGCGGAATGCATTCCTGGCAGGTTGCTGGCTGGGGAGTTTTGAGGCAGCTCCCAAAGGCTTAAAAAGATCCCTTCCCCCATGGCAGTGTGGTGTAGTGGCTAGAGCTTAGAAGGACTGGATTTACAGCGTCCATTCAGCCACAGTATGCAGTATGTTCCCTAAAGCAGTGTAGTGGTTAGATAACCGGGGAGAAGAGGGTTCAAGTCCCCACTTGGTCGCAAAACTCATCTTGGGCCAGTCCCTGTCTTTTCTCCACCTAACTCACAGGGTTGTTATGGGGGATTTAATGAGGTAGGGTTGCCATATGTCTGGAATTTCCGAAACATAGCCGGGATTCAGTCACTGGAAACAGTGCCCCTGGATGGAAACCCATGTCAGAAGTGTAGAATTTGGTGAATTTCCTTTTTTTAAAAAAATTAAATGGTGGGGTTTTTTTAGATTTTGCAAAAAGAACCTCAACAGCTTTTGTCAAAATGAGGAGGCAAAGAACCGTGCAGGCCAACTTGAGCTCTTTAAACACAGAGACCATTGGAGAAGAGGGTGTGTTAAGCTGACGTCTGCGACTCTCTACACGTGACACACTTAGTATCTTTGGGGTTGGTGGTCTTGCTGCTCCCCTCCCTGAACAATAGCACCCACAATATAACTGGCTGTGTTTAACTATATAAATTCTTTATACATCATATAAACATACCTCTTTTCGCATTATCAAATTAAGTAGAAGCAATTAAAGACCAACATTTTGAACAGGAAATACAAATACAGTGGTGCCTCAGGTTACATAAGCTTCAGGTTGCATACACTTCAGGTTACAGACTCCGCTAACCCAGAAATAGTGCTTCAGGTTAAGAACTTTGCTTCAGGATGAGAACAGAAATCGTGCTCCAGTGGCGCAGCAGCAGCGGGAGGCCCCATTAGCTGAAGTGGTGCTTCAGGTTAAGAACAGTTTCAGGTTAAGTATGGACCTCCGGAACGAATTAAGTACTTAACCTGAGGTACCACTGTACTGTAGATCAGTTCCTATATACGTAATGTCCAAATAGAAGCTTTTTTGTGTTCCACATATGTCTTTACGAACACAATGTCGGACGCAACAACTTTAAGAAGCAGTATTTGCAGAAAATGAACTTTTTCTTTGTAATGTTCCACATATGCCTTTGCAAAGTGTAGTTGTTGTATGCAGGTATCAGACAAAAGAACTTAAGACAAGGATTCCCGGAATAATACCTTGTTTCGCCCTGAAAGGCTTCGTCAGCTGTGCATACTCATATTTTGTGTATCGGAGACATGGAACAAGTGACATGGCGGATTCCCTCCCTGAACAAGCATTCTCCCATAGAGCAGGTGTGGGGGACCTGTGGCCTTCCAGATACTGCCAAATGGCAGATCCTCACCCCCCCCCCAACACTGGCCCTTGGCCACGCTGGCTGGGACTTGTTCAGCCACATCTGGAAGGCCAAAGATTCCTTGCAGCCGCCCACCAGTGGCTTTTGCACTTTGGGGTCTTGGCTCAAAGGTGAGGACTTCGTTTCTCTGAGCCGGGAGAAGCCCATTTGACATCCTTCAGACATTTGTTGGGCTCCAACTCCCATCATCCCTTGAAGGAGTTGGGGGGTCCAGCAGCATCCATGTTGCCTATTCCTGCCCTAAGCATTTGGTGCCCACGTCTTTCTTTGCTGAGTTGCCATCGTTTTGCAGGTATGCTGGTGTGGAGCACTCCCTGGTCCTGAATGGGGTAACTGTGCCCCTGAAGGACCAGGTGCGCAGCCTGGGAGTCATTTTGGACTCACAGCTATCCATGGAGGCGCAGGTCAATTCTGTATCCGGGGCAGCTGTCTACCAGCTCCATCTGGTACGTAGGCTGAGACCCTACCTGCCCGCGAACTGTCTCGCCAGAGTGGTGCATGCTCTAGTTATCTCCCGCTTGGACTACTGCAATGCGCTCTACGTGGGGCTACCTTTGAAGGTGACTCGGAAACTACAGCTAATCCAGAATGCGGCAGCTAGACTGGTGACTGGGGGCGGCCGCCGAGACCACATAACACCGGTCTTGAAAGACCTACATTGGCTCCCAGTACATTTCCGAGCACAATTCAAAGTGCTGGTGTTGACCTTTAAAGCCCTAAACGGCCTCGGCCCAGCATACCTGAAGGAGCGTCTCCACCCCCATCATTCTGCCCGGACGCTGAGGTCCAGCGCCGAGGGCCTTCTGGCAGTTCCCTCATTGCGAGAAGCAAAGCTACAGGGAACCAGGCAGAGGGCCTTTTCGGTAGTGGCGCCCGCCCTGTGGAACGCCCTCCCATCAGATGTCAAAACGATAAACAACTACCTGACATTCAGAAGACATCTTAAGGCAGCCCTGTTCAGGGAAGTTTTTAATGTATGATATTTTAGTTTTTTTTGTTTCTATGGAAGCCGCCCAGAGTGGCTGGGGAAACCCAGCCAGATGGGCAGGGTACAAATAATAAATTATTATTATTATTATGGCTTTCAACTATATTGGTTAGAGCGTGGTGCTGATGCCAAGGTTGCAGGTTTGATCCCCGTATGGGGCAGCTGCATATTCCTTGCAGGGGGTTGGAATAGATGATCCTTCTGCTCTGCAGTTCTATTATTCTGTATATTAGGATGTGTATTTAGAGTGCCTTGAGACCACTGTGTTACAGAAAGTGGCCTATACAGTGGTACCTCTGGTTACAAACTTAATTCGTTCCGGAGGTCCGTTCTTAACCTGAAACCGTTCTTAATCTGAGGTACCACTTTAGCTAATGGGGCCTCCTGCTGCCGCCGATTTCTGTTCTCATCCTGAGGTAAAGTTCTTAACCCAAGCTATTACAGTGGTACCTCGGGTTACAGGCGCTTCAGGTTACAGACTCCGCTAACCCAGAAATAGTGCCTCGGGTTAAGAACTTTGCTTCAGGATGAGAACAGAAATCACACAGCTGCGTCAGCGGGAGGCCCCATTAGCTAAAGTGGTACCTCAGGTTAAGAACAGTTTCAGGTTAAGAACAGACCTCCAGAATGAATTAAGTTCTTAACCCAAGGTACCACTGTACTTCTGGGTTAGCGGAGTCTGTAACCTGAAGTGTTTGTAACCCGAGGTACCACTGTAAAACCGTCCTGTGTTGGTGACGATCGCCCTTGCACTGTTGTGTTTGGGGACCCCTGTGCCAATTCTGCTGAAAGGGCCCCCCCGAATCTGCCCCCAGATCCCTACTCTGATGGTACCACTGTTTCTGTGCTTCTTACTTTTGCCATTGTGGGAACAAGGCACCCTGCGGACGTGGCACAAACGCTGGTCAGCATGTCCCCCCCCCCCAAATTTCATTTTGCCGTTGTCAAGAACCAACCCGCAAGGTTGAAAAGAGAGAGCAAGCAAGGAAGAGCCCCTGTCCACAACCCCCACCCCCCTCTGCTTCCTGCCCAGCCAAAGTGGAGACAAAGGGTCTCCAGCCAGGAAGCAGATGGCCGGATCCTGGCTCTCCGATAACGAGGAGTCAACCTCAACAATCACCGGACATGCTTGTTGCTCTGCAGCTGGATCTCCCCAGGCTCAAAAAGGGCTGGCTTGTGAGTGTGTGAGTTCTAACCTCAGATGTTCCTGCCCTGCTGGAGAGAAGGAATCTGCCGTGGCCCCACGCCGTGGAATGCGCAGAAGGTTTCGGTTTTAATTTAAAAGGTGTATATCGCTTCCCAAGGGACATGGGTGGCGCTGTGGGTTAAACCACAGAGCCTAGGACTTGCTGATCAGAAGGTCGGTGGTTCAAATCCCCGCAACGGCATGAGCTCAGTCCATGCTCCTGCCAACCTAGCAGTTTGAAAGCACGTCAAAGTGCAAGTAGATAAATAGGTACCGCTCCAGCGGGAAGGTAAACAGCATTTCCGTGCGCTGCTCTGGTTCGCCAGAAGTGGCTCAGTCATGCTGGCCACATGACCCGGAAGCTGTACGCTGGCTCCCTCGGCCAATAAAGCTAGATGAGCACCGCAACCCCAGAGTCGGTCACGACTGGACCTAATGGTCAGGGGTCCCTTTACCTTTACCTATATCGCTTCCCACCAAAAAAGCCCCGAGTTGTTTCCACAAGCTGATGTGGAGGAAATCCACCATGGTATGAAGCACTCTCTGTGCAACTGCAGGTGGGAGCTGCCCAAAGGAACCTTTCTTGGCTGGCCGGGCAAAGAGATGATTTGCCAAAGCACAAAAGTCTCTTGCAGAGGAGATTTTCAGAATAGTGGGGTTTGTGGTAGGGCCATAGAGTCCCCATGGCCAGAGAGAGAGAGAGAGAGAGAGAGTCCTGGAGGGTCACAGTTGGCCCCTAGACCTGAAGTTGATCACCTCTGATTTAGGGCCAGGCCCGTTCTTCAGTGGTGGTGGTGGTTTGCTCAGAAAAAGCTCCCGAAACTGACTTGGCAGAAGTCAGCTTCTGAAAAGCAAGGAAAGTCAGATTCCCCTTTTCTAGGTGGGGTATAGAGGCTGAGAGAAGCAACTTTCAAGGCAAATGTGGCAGGAAGAACAGTTTATTGAGGGCTGCATGAAACCTTCAGCTGCAGAGGCAATGTACCTGAATATCAGCTACTGGGGCAGTGGCGTAGCAGGGGGGGCCGGCCGCACCAGGCGCAACATCTGGGGGGGGGCACCACTAATCTAGTGGAAGAGACTTGAGTGCTAAAATCCACAGGTTAGGGGGTGCAAATTACTTGCCTTGCCCCGGGTGCTGACAACCCACGCTACGCCACTGTACTGGGGCTCCTGCTTTCAGTTTCCTCCGGTGGCCTCCTAGAGGCATCTAGTTGTCCAGGATGCTGGACTGGATGGGCTTTTGGTCTCATCCTGATGTTCAGCCCCCGAAGAAAGGAGATCCTCACCCCACTCCTCACTTGCAAATAAAGCACATGCCGTGTGTTTTATATATATATATTAGTGTTAATTTTTATTGGTCACTTTTTACGCCGAAGCATCTCAAAGCGACTTGCATAATAAAAACAGGGAGAAGCCATGAAAACCAAATATAAAAAAATAGCAATAAGCCTAAAGTGCTCATCCAAGACAATCACACACACATATATATATAAACAAATCCCACCACATTGAAAACAATGAGCACAAAAAGAGGCCGCAGACATAACTAGTTACTCTTCTGGTTAAGAACCAAACACCTGCCTGAGTAAACAGAAATAGTTTTACTGGGCTCCTGAGGACAGGCAACAAGGGCGCCAGGCGTGCTTCCTCCGAGAGAGAGCATTCCAGATGCAGAGAGCCACCACCGAAAAGGCCCATTCCCATGTTGCCATCCTCCACGATGTGGAGTGTGCAAGTTGGTTCATGTGGATAGTGGTCCTTGAGGATTTGTGATACATGCTCAGACCATCTTGCCCCCGGGGTCAGCAATCCAGCTGCTGAATTCTGCACTAGCTGCAGTTCCCGAACAACCTTCAAGGGCAGCTCCATGTATACCGCATTGCAGTAATCTAACAGGTTATCAGAGCATAGGCAACAGAAGCTGAGGGAAGACACTCCTCTACTGATGCTACTTTTTAGCCTTTGCCAAAACATTGGTCCTGCCATGTTTCCCCATCCCGTGCAGGCAAATAAATTGGGGGCACAAATTTCACTGAATTTCTCCAGGTAGAGGGGAGATCCTGTTTCTCGGTATCTGAGGTTCACCTGTCACACGACAGTACCAGAACTTCTATCTTGTCTGCCAACTGTGGGCACCCAGGTTACCATTTTACATCCCCCATAATGCCCCAGAACTAGCGTTGCCCCAGGGTATTGTGGGAGAAAAACTGGGGGTGGGGGATGGCAGACAATATTTTGGGAGAAATCTTCAAAGTGACCTTTTCCAGGGAGGCAAGAAAAAGAAACCCCCAAGCGTTATTTTTAAAACATCTGAGGAATTTCGACTCCGCTCTCTTATTTTTAACCAGCAGCTCATGAGGACTAGGAACTTGGGTGTTTGTCTTCTAGAAAGCCCAAGCTTTTCAATTCTACAAAGCAAACTTTCCTGTACCCAGGATAGACAGATCCAGATTCCCTGACATCCACAGAGCCCATAAGGCTCACTCAGAAAAATCCCTTCCACAAACCCAGACTTGTGGTTTGTGCTAAAGGAGACTTTGATCAGCTGCCTGATCAATTCACAGGGGATTCCTCTCCTCCTGCCCTCCCAACAGCACAACAAACCTCCTGTTCATCTTTAGCAGGATAATTGTTCCGAACCAATGAAGTTGCCGCCTTCATTTTGCCACAGGCTTTGTTGACAAAGGATGCACCCTCTTAGAAGAGCAAAACAACACCCAAATTAACTAAATGAGACATTAAGACAAGGCGAAGCAGTGGGAGGTGTGAGTTTATAATAAAAAATATCTGTCTTCAACCGGCTCCACCCCTGGGCGACATAAGGGTATCCCACCACATCCAGGAGATGGGAAATAATTTGGGGCACAAAGATCAGTCTTTGGTGGTTCACGGAAGAATAACATCAGTGTTTCTATGCCTGGCTTTGAAGAAAGCAGATTCTACAATAGTTTGAGAAAAGGAAGTGGAAAGGTGCACAGTAAAAGGCTTGTTTATTCTAAAACCACTAGGATATCAAGGGTAAGGGTTGTGTGTGTTTTTTTAAGTGTTGTGAAAAGTCATAAAACAATTGGAGGGGGACATTTGAGGCCATGGAGTTCCACCCCCTTGGCCGAAGCAGGAAATCCCAAACTAGAGCCCACCCCACAAAGAGATGGTTGTCCTGCCTCGGCCACCAGCAAGGAGAAACAAGGAATGACTTGAGTTCTGGTAGGGTGGGAGGGAAGATGGTCTGGTCCTTCTTGAGGACCGGCAACTTGACTCCAAGCACTTGGGTGCAGGCGGCAGAACGAGAGGCCTGCGAGGTCTCCGGCCAGCAGAGGAGGCAAGGACCCCGAATGAGGTATGTATACAGATGACCAGGAGAACCGTTGGCAGCAAACCCCCCCCCCCAACCCTGGGCAGAAGCGGCCTAGAAACTGCAACGGTCTGGAGACGCCGCTCTCCGGACTGTCCCGCCACGGAGCCAGGGGGTCCCTCCTGGTCCTCAGAGCGCCAACAAGGTGGGGGAGTTGAGCGAATCGGAGGAGTGGTCGCCGCTGCTGCTGCGCCGGTGGGCAGAGGAGCAGGCCTCGTGCGGGAAGCCAGAGCCGGAGGGGCCATCGGGGTCCCCCGGTGTGGGGTAGGTGAAGACCAGGCTTGGGGTGAAGGGGGTGAGGGACGGCGTGGGCATCAGGGTTGGGGTGTGCAGAGCCTCTGGCTCCAGCAGGCCGCTGGGGGGCAGAGTGATGCTGGGAGGCACTGGAGCCGCTCTGCGAGGGGCGCTGGGGCCCGGCGGGGACTCCCGCTTGACTGGAAGCTGGGCGAGGGTACCCCGGCCGGCTTTGGCCCTCTTCCTCTTCCCCCGAGGACTCCTCAGGGACTTTGCAGGCCGGTCGATGAGCCTCCAGGACCAGCTCCAGCCGCTCCTTCTGCTTCTGCAGTTCCGCAATCTCCTTCTTCAGCCCAGATTGCTCAGCCTCCAGCTGGTCCGTCTCCTGGGGAGGGGGAAAAAATGCAGATTTCTTAACTTTTTCAAAGAGGGTGTGGCATCTGAATATAGGGCAGGAGAGAAACAGGCAAAAGGGAACTGTTGAGTACAATAGCACGCCCTAGGGCAGAGTGTAGAAGACCCTCTTCACATTCCTTTCTAGGCAATCCCCAGTGGTGGGTGGGGCCAGAAGGAAAACAGCCACCACAGCTGGTGAACCAAGAGGCCTGGTCAGAGTTCAAGGATGATACTTCAGGCAAGGAGAGTGCCAAGCAAGACCGGTGAGGGTTGGGGCCTGTGGAGAGGATCAAGGGCCAGGTATGAAGGCCCAGGGGGCCACATATTGCTTCTACCACTTCACTAAGAGGGCTCTCTCTCTGTTTTTGTAGATTGCATTTCTCGGGGACTGGAAACTTCCCACTGAGTATTTAAAGAACTACTATAGGTAGCTGAAAACGCGAGCAGGACTGGAAATAGGAGCAATCTTATTATTAAGACAAATAGGTCCAATGGAATGCATTGAATGGTACAGTACAGTATAGTCAAAATAAGCAGCATTTAAGGGTAAATATGTGGTGCTGTGGGTTAAACCACAGAGCCTAGGACTTGCCGATGGTCAGTGGTTCAAATCCCCATGACAGGGTGAGCTCCCATTGCTCGGTTCCTGCTCCTGCCAACCTAACAGTTTGAAACCACGTCAAAGTGCAAGTAGATAAGTGCAAGGTAAACGGCGTTTCCGTGCGCTGCTCTGGTTCACCAGAAGTGGCTTAGTCCTGCTGGCCACATTACCCGGAAGCTGTACGCCGGCTCCCTCGGCCAATAAAGCAAGATGAGCGCCGCAACCCCAGAGTTGGCCACGACTGGACCAAATAGTCAGGGGTCCCTTTACCTTTATCTTTACCTTATGGAAACCATGGAAGTGGAGGATGGGAAGTCAATGGATAAAGTAACTTATGGCTTATGTTAAAATTTGTAAAGATTCTTGTTTTCTTTGTGAAAAATCAGTAAATAAAGGTAAAGGTAAAGGTACCCCTGCCCATACGGGCCAGTCTTGACAGACTCTAGGGTTGTGCGCCCATCTCACTCAAGAGGCCGGGGACCAGCGCTGTCCGGAGACACTTCCGGGTCACGTGGCCAGCGTGACATCGCTGCTCTGGCGAGCCAGAGCCGCACACGGAAACGCCGTTTACCTTCCCGCTGGTAAGCGGTCCCTATTTATCTACTTGCACCCGGAGGTGCTTTCGAACTGCTAGGTTGGCAGGCGCTGGGACCGAGCAGCGGGAGCGCACCCCGCCGCGGGGATTCGAACCGCCAACCTTTCAATCGGCAAGCCCTAGGCGCTGAGGCTTTTACCCACAGCACCACCCGCGTCCCCAAATAAAGGTAAAAGGTAAAGGTACCCCTGCCCGTACGGGCCAGTCTTGACAGACTCTAGGGTTGTGCGCCCATATAGGATTATGTAAAAAAAAAAAGAAGAAGATTGTATGCCTGTTGGTAGTGATTGTCTTGGTTCTGATTCTGTGCAATCTGCTCTGGGAGCCTTTTTTGGGGGGCTGAAGATTGGGGTGCAAACACTAAATAACTAAATAAAAGAGTCCACCTTCCAGAAGTACCAGGGAGAGCATGGGAGAGTCACTTACGGCTTGCAAGGTGTCTGTTAATTCCTTCCGGCGATTCCGGCACTTGGCTGCTGCCAGCTTGTTCCTCTCCCTCCGCAGCCGCCGCCGCTCCTCCTCCTCGGGTGTCAGCTGCAGAAGACGGGCACATCAGAGGCTGCTTCACACCAAATCACAAACCCCATTCATCCACCTAGCTCAGTTTTGTCTCCAGAGTTTCAGACAGGAGTCTGTCCAAGCCCTACCCTGGGAAATGGTAGGGATTGAACCCAGATCCTTTCCCATGGAAAGCAGGTGCTCTACCGCTGAGCTATGGCCTTTCCCCCTTGAAATAAAGTTGCTAGTCCACATGGTCCTGAACTGAGTTGATTTGATCAGGAAGTTGACTCATCATAGCTCAGCTGGTGCTGATAATTCCAAGGTTGCAAGGCTGATCCCCGGATGGGACAGCTGCATATTGGGTTGGACTAGATCAGGGTCTCTCAAACTTGGGTCTCCAGCTGTTTTTGGACTACAACTCCCATCATCCCTAGCTAGTGGAATCAGTGGTCAGAGATGATGGGAATTGTAGTTCAAAAACAGCTGGAGACCCAAGTTTGAGAGACCCTGGAGTAGATGATCCTCAGGATCCCTTCCAACTCTATAATTCCACAAGTCTATGACTGGAGGCAGCTCTCTCTCCAAACTGGAGTACCGTCTATGCGCTTCATGGACAACAGAGGGCGCAAGTGCCTACGGAAACGCAGCTGAGATGGTCCACCAACAGCATCTTGGCCTTAATCTCTAGCGAATCTCAAGTGAAAATATGTGTCCTTTTCTTCCAGTACTGCTTCTGTGCCCTTCCGCAGCTATGTGATGGGCAGAAAAGCTAAACAGGCCCCCCTCCTGCTGCCACCTCTCCAGGCCATCAAAAAGAGATAGCTGTCAAACCTATGCCTGTTCCACGGCTATGAAAGATCCCACCAGGCAGATCAAAAAGCAGGCCATGTTTAATTTACACTAGTGGCTCAGCCGTTTTTGGAGACTGGACTCTGCTGGAAGTGCCCTCTTGCACTTTCCTTACATGTGCCAAGGTTTAGCAGGCCTGCACTCTGTGCATGCCCAGAGGCCCTCTTGAGGCATCTACAGACTGCGTGATAATGTTCATTCAGTGCTGGACGCAGGTGCATTTCAAGGGTACTGTGCACATGACATAATCCCCACCTCACACTATGGGCTGATCATTCCCCCTCAAAAAAATATAGTCCAGCCCCCCACAAGGTCCGAGGGACAGTGGACTGGTCCCCTGTTGAAAATGTTTGCTGACCCCTGGCCTAAGCACATGCTTATTTTGCATTATGGTTAATCCCATGTCCAGAGTGCAGGCCTGCTGAGTTTATCAACATGCTGAGGATATACAAAGCTAAGTACACATGAAGACTTTGAAATGTGCAGGGCTGGTTTTCTTCCCAGAGTGCTTTGTGCATCGTGCTTTGCAACAGTACATCCCTTTGTGCTATCATATTGCTTAACATGGGAATTTCTATCCCAGCTGTCTGCCCATGCAGTTGGGTGTTTCAAAGGATGTCGGCTTGTATCATGTTCTGTGCTCCCCTCCCCTTAGTTAGTCCACCCATAGGACGCCACACCTTGCAATCAGGCTGTTCCAACCTCACCTTTATATATGTATAAAGGCGAATCCTAGAGTTGGAAGGGATACCACGGATCATCTAGTGTCCAACCCCCTGCAATGGAATAATGCACCCATATGATCAGCAACACACTCTAACCAAAGATTTAGTTTTGCCCAAAGCTGACCTTTTTATTTTATTTTATTTTGCAAAATCTAAAAAAAAAAATATGAAGTTTTGGAGCTATTTTTAAGGAAATCAGGGGAAATCTAGACTTCCGGCATTAGTTGCCATACATCTGAATTTTCCTAGACATTTCAGCGATTTCCGCCAGGACACTGTTTCCGATGGCCGGATCCCGGCTATGTCCGGGAAATTCCGGACATATGGCAACCCTCGTGTGGGTGACACAGCCCTGCAGCATCCCTGGGCCCAACCTAATAGGAGTAGACCTAAGAAAATGGTTTCTGTGGCCATGAAGGGGCAACAAGTGCTTGGGAAGCACATTCTTGTTCCAAAATGGAGTAAAATGTTTCCCAAAGAGCATGCTTTAGATCAGGGGTCAGCAAACTTTTTCATCAGGGGGCCGGACTATAATTTTTTTTGGGGGGGGGATGGACAAATTCCTATGCCCCACAAATAACCCGGAGATGCATTTTAAATAAAAGGACACATTCTACTCATGTAAAAGCACGCTGATTCCCGGACCGTTCGTGGGCTGGATTTAGAAGGCGATTGGGCTGGATCTGGCCCCCAGGCCTTAGTTTGCCCACCCATGTGGTTCTCAACCTGTGGGTCCCCAGATGTTGTTGGACTACAACTCCCATCATCCCTGAGCTAGCCTTGCTAGCTAGGGGTGATGGGATTTGTAGTTCAACAACATCTGGGGACCCACAGGTTGAGAAAGGCTGGCTTAGGGCATCAAGGGAAGCAGGGAAATTTTCATTGCCGGATTTTTAACATTAATGGTCATAAATTACTCAGCTGAGTGTTTCTTTTCTCAGTTGAAGTTTATTAAAAAATCCCAGCGGAAGAACTCTGCAACAAGGCAGGCTGGGTGCCTTCTCTCTCTACCAAGCATAGGAGCAGATGTACTACATAATATTCATTCTGAGGACCAGGGCTGTCTTTAGCCTATGTGCCGCTGGGCTGCAAAGATCCACCCAGCGCCCCCAAATTTAGTTTAGCCCCCAAATTAGCGCCACCACACACAAACTTATAAGTATTGTTTAGGCACCGACTTAGGAGAATCATCAAGTCGTGTCAAAGGTCCCACTGACCCCGCTGCCGCATAGCAGCTCAATACAATACGTAACATAATATTTTGATGTAAGAGTTAATTTCGCATGCACGGCATCATTGTGAATGACAAGCGCCGCTGCTGGTGCAGTGCGTCTTTGGTAGATGAGCGCACAAAGTCAAAAGTCCTTTAGTGAAACAGTAGGTATACATTTCGGTAATACCTAGGTATATGTGTATTTTGTTTTTTCTAGCTTGATCAAAATTATTTATTATTTAATAACAGGTAGATAGTTAAGAGCTTAGGCGGCTTCAGCGGCAGGCACCTGGTGCCCCCCAGAATTCGGCACCCGGGTGCCCCGCATCCCTTGCACCCCCAGGTAAAGACGACCCTGCTGAGGACCTGATCAAAGTCAATGCCATAAGAAAAAGCAGGAGAACATTTTTTCAAATATAAAGTAGAAGTACAGTGGTACTGTTCTTAACTAGAGGCGGGCTTTCGCTAATGGGGCCTCTTGCTGCCGCTGCGCTGCCGGCACACAATTTCCATTCTCATCCTGGGGCAAAGTTCTCAACTCATGGTAACTCTTCCAGGTTAGCAGAGTTTGTAACCTGAAGCATTTGTAACCTGAGGCGTTTGAAACTCAAAGTACCACTGTATACAAAACCAAAGATTCTTATCCATCTTATTGTAGGTTTTTTTTGTTTTTTAACAGAATTTCATTTTACGGTTTATTATTTGCTTATACAGTGCTACCTCGGGTTAAGAACTTAATTCGTTCCGGAGGTCCGTTCTTCACCTGAAACTGTTCTTAACCTGAAGCACCACTTCAGCTAATGGGGCCTCCCGCTGTCGCCACGGCGCGATTTCTGTTCTCATCCTGAAGCAAAGTTCTTAACCTGAGGTAATATTTCTGGGTTAGCAGAGTCTGTAATATGAAGCGTCTGTAACCTGAGGTACCACTGTATTTTGACATATATGGGGGCACCAAAATCTTTTAAGTGCTTCGGGCCTCTTAATCCTGCCTCTTGTGCATTCTTTGCATGTTCCAAGCCTGCCCTGAGAGTCTCTTCCCTCCTTTTTAACCTCCTCTATCTAGGAGGCAACAGCAGATCTTTGCCACACTGAAATGTCGCTGCACAAATGCACTAAGCTTCACATATTTTTCAGGAACCTTCTGCTGTCATCTACCCACTGGGCCTTCCACATTCCCTCCCTGCCCACCCACCCTAATACTCACATGCTCCGAATGACGCCTCCGCGGTGTCAGGATTGGCCCAGCAGTGCGGATCACACCCGGCCGAATGCCTGGAGGATAGTGCGGGCAACGGTAGGGTCGCGGGTAAGGGGGGATTCCTGGAGAAGCGCCCATGATGGTGGGCTGAACCATCCACTGCAGGTCGTGGCTGGTGGTGATGGTGTTGAGGTTGGGGACAAAGCCGCCGGCGGCACTGCTGCTGCTGCTGCCGGCCCCGGGATCAGACGGGTACTTCTGCTGGAGGGGAAGAAGACAAAGAGGGTCACAAACAGAGCTTGGGCGTCTCTGCGGAGAGATCTGCCGGAGGTCAGAAGCCACCAACGAGCGCACAAACTTTCCTAGGAGGAAAAGGCCTCCTTTCGCAGCCTGGGTGGAATCTAGACATGTCTAAAAAACCGCTGCGAAAATGCTTTTTAAGAAAAATTGAATTTGCCATTAGCTCACCATCGCCATCTAGTGTCACATTTGTATAATGCACTTAAAACATTATATTTGCAGCTGTACAGCTGAGTCCTTGGTGCCTTCCAGATGAGTTGGACTGCAACAGATTGGCCATTTTAGAGACTGCACTCTGGGCATGCCTAAAGGCACTCTTTCAAGCGCTTTGTATGTTCTGAGGTTTTGCATGCCTGACTCAAAAGGAAGTCCCCCCCCTTGCCCCCCTTTTAACCCTGCTGGAGCAGGGGGGCGCAGCAAATCGCGAGCTTAGCAAAATTAAAACGTTGCTATATACTGTACATAGAGACACAGCTGCCATGCTGCATGGCTGCTGGAAGGGGCTGCTGGGAGTTGTAGTCCAAAACATATGGAGGGCACCAGGTCAGGGGAAGGTTGCTGGACATGTCACCCTAGACTTCACCAATAAGGTTCCCCCCAGATGTTTTGGACTACATCTCCCATCAGCCGCGGCTGGCAGTCATGTTGCATGCCTGATGGGAGTTGTAGTCCAAAACATTACATTGGTGAAGGTTGCTCTACTCAAATTCTCATCCAGATTACTAATTTACTCCTCCCTTCCGGTGTTCTGGCCAATGACAGTGAAGCTGCTGGTAGAGGAGAGAAGTATTTTGCCACCTCTTCCCCATTTTACTACACAAAATAATTAAAACAAACCATACTTCTCCCTTTTTTAAAAGGCAGGCTGCTCTCGCCCCCTTTTGCATTGACTTCACCTCCACAGCTTTTGGAACTGGCTGAGTTTCAAAACCAAGCACAGAGGCATGCAGGTGCAACTGGGCCCATAGCTCAGTCAGTAGAACACAAGACTCTTAATCTATGGGTCACGGGTTCGAGTCCCACATTGGGCAAAAGATTTCTGCATAGATGATCCTCTACAATTCTCCTATCCAAGTACTAACCAGACCTGCCCCCGATTAGCTTCCGAGATCAGACGAGATTGGGCATGTTCAGGGTAGCATGGATAAACAGTGGCATGTGGTGAAATTTTTCGTAGGGGAACAGTTAGCGCCAGAGGGAACCAGCTTGTGAGGGCAATCGGAGGGGTGACGTCACAACAGTGACATCCAGTGCCGGATTTACGTATAAGCTAAACAAGCTATAGCTTAGGGCCCCACTCTCTTCCAAAAAAATAATGAAAAAAACCCTGGATGTACATTTCCAAAATATAAGATAAAAAACAAATAAAATAAAAACTACATACAGCAACAGTGTTTTGTGTTGTGTATGGACCTAATAGGTATCTAAAGCCATTTGCACATATTGCCACGCAACCAGTCCATGCAGAATGTAGCTTGCTCTCTAAAATAGGGTGCCTACATTCTGCATGGACTGGTTGCGTGGCAATATGTGCAAATGGCTTTAGATACCTATTAGGTCCATAAATTACCATATAGCATATATTCAACACAAAAAACAGCGGCAATTTGTTGGACCTATAAAGGGCCCCACTACCTTCAGTAGCTTAGGGCCTCATCAAACCTAAATCCGGCCCTGGTGACGTCACAATGTCACAACATCACAACAACGTCCCATGTGTGCGTATTGTACCTCCCTCCCTATACCAGATAGAAGCTTCCTGGGCTTTGGGAAGGAAGCACCAAGGGAACATTTAGGGAACTAGCCTTGTCCACCTAGTCCGCTGACCCGCACGCCACTGATGGACATAGACCCAACTATAGAATTCTATTCTTCGATAACAAGGGCTTCTTCTGAAAAGAGAACAAGCCTCTCTTCATCATAGCAATGAAAATGTGAATGTCTTCCTTCCTTCAATTTCCACCCCACCAAAGGTGCCCAGTGGTGCAAACAACAACAATGAAAACAGTACAATCAATTTTAAAACATTAAATAAAAAATCAAATAGCATAAGAACATAAGATAAACCTGGCAACTAGATCAGCCCCCATTATAATTCCAAGCAATTTGCTTGCTACCTTCCAACAGCAGAGCCACTGGGAGCCACCAATAGCCCTATACAGATACCCTCATATAAAATAAATTCAAGGTTGCCAGAACCTCCCAGGCATCAAATGGCCTCTTAAATCTGGAAGCCCTTCTCCCATCTCACACAGGCTGTAGATAGATAGACAGACAGACAGATAATTTATTACGGTCTGAGACCAGATTATAAAACACACTTGGGGGTACAATCCCAGAAGGAAAACAAACATTTAAAACAATGTACAACAATAAATTTAAAATTTATAAATGCAATAAGCATATAGACACTTAAAACTTTAAGATAAGCTACCGCAGAGAGATGACCCAGAGTCACCCATGGAACCAAGTTTGGGGATTTTCTTAATGAACTAGTTTGGATTGGGGGATGGTCTGCGCCTACAGATCTGTACACAGAATCTGGCGACCATCCGGGTCGTCTTACGATCTTTGCCTAACAGGAAAAGGTCAATTTTTTGCTTTTTGGGGAGGTCAGTGAGCCTCACCAGCAGGGGATCAATGGTCTCACTACGTGCCTCTTCATAAAAGGGACATCTAAAGTTCTCTGAGCTTCCTATATCCCCCAATGAACAGAAGCAAAGTCTCTGAGCATATGGAACTTTTTTAAACACAGGCTGTAGATTTCGGGACAGCATTGAGAGCGGCAGACTTGACCCGCAGGGCCCAACCCACTGGTAACCTTCTCCTGCACAAACCATGTGCATAGGATAGCTCGATGGGTAGAGCATGAGACTCTTAACCTCAGGGTCGTGGGCAGAAGATTCCTGCATGGCAAGGGGTTGGACTACTGGACCCTCGTGGTCCCTTCCAGCTCGACGATTCTATGATTCTAGGACCAGGAAGAGTTGCACAATAATGGGAGATTCGTTTCCATGAACCTCGTGCAAGATAATTTCCTGGAAGACAGAGCCCTTGCCTGCCCAAGATACTTAAGGAAGAGAGAATATGAAAAGAGATCTGCTGGATCCGGCCAACTGCCCAGCGAGTCCAGAATCCTGTCCTCTCAGTGGTCAAATAGATGCCTGGGTAAAAGGTAAAGGTAAAGGGACCCCTGACCATTAGGTCCAGTCGTGACAGACTCTGGGGTTGCCTCGCTCATCTCGCTTTATTGGCCAAGGGAGCCGACGTACAGCTTCCGGGTCATGTGGCCAGCATGACTGAGCCGCTTCTGGCGAACCAGAGCAGCACACGGAAACGCCATTTACCTTCCCGCTGGAGTGGTACCTATTTATCTACTTGCACTTTGACGTGCTTTCAAACTGCTAGGTTGGCAGGAGCAGGGACCAAGCAAAGGGAGCTCACCCCGTCATGGGGATTCAAACCACCGACCTTCTGATCGGCAAGCCCTAGGCTCTGTGGTTTAACCCACAGCGCCACCCGCGTCCCATCTAGATGCCTGGGAGAGGTCACCAAACAGGAACCAGAGCGCAATGCAACTTTCCCGGCTTGCAGTGCTCAACAAGGGTTACTCAGAGGCAGAGAGAGCACAGCCATAGCAGCTAGCCGCCTTTATTAACCTTTATTCCCCATGAGATTTGTCTAGCTCTCTTTGACAAGTCATCCAAGCCGGTGACCACCTCTCAATCTTGCAGGAACAAGCTGCTTTTTTTATTTCCCACCTCTGGAGCCGAACTGCCTTGGGATAGCAATCTGCCTTTCCCCTCATATCCCAGCTGTGTGAGGCTGCATGCTGGCCCTCTGCACATGCTCAGGAACACTTCTCACCTCACATAGTCAAAGGAAGGACTGCAGCAGAGCTCAGTTCCCAGTCTATTCCCCCACCCTGCACAGTGGAGCCATTAAGCCCCAGGGCAGAGAGGAGACAGCTGCCTCTCTACCCCCCGGAATTACGCACCCAGTGCCCTTTTCACACACCCCTTGACCTACTTCCCCAGTAGCCTCTGCCTTTCCCTGAGGCATGTTGGTACACCTCCGGGGAGGCCCGCCCTGGCCTTCTACGTGGGGCAGCTGGCGTCATCTCAGCCGACTCGCTGGGAGCGGCCTCAAAACCTACACAGACTCATTGCCTGCTGTTTCTCTGACACATCCTACCTCCAGCCCAGGTGAGGGTGGGGGAAACCCAGAGCCACCTGTCTCGAGACAAGGCTGTTGCACAGGCCCAGGTAGCCTGCTAGGAAGCAGGACTCCTGGGTTCTTGGCCAGAATTGGGGGTGGGGGAAGGGTTAGAGCAACCTGAAAGAGCCTACTTCCCAATTTTTTGGAGGGGAGAGTCACGATCGGAAAACTTCATTTTATTACACTTTTGCTTTATTTATTTCGTAAAATTTGTACACCACTTAACGGGGGGGGGGGACATTACTGGCAAAATTGCACCCTTCCACCAAGAACCAATTATACCAAGCTCCTTGGTATACAACAGCTCAGTTGACTAGAGTGTGGTGCCAAGGTTGCAGGTTCGATCCCCATATGGGACAGTTGCATTGCAGGGATTGGACTAGATGATCCTCAGGGTCCCTTCCAACTCTACAGTTCTAATTGTAAGAGGATGAGAACAGCAGATTTTATTCTTTCCATTTTCTGTTTAGTCAACCAGTGAGCTTCAAGACTGAGTGGGTACTGCTGCCATCTGCATCTTCCATGTCCTAGTCTAACACGCTAACCACTAACTATACTGTCTGCAATTTCACTGCAAGGCCGCCACTCTCCCTTGCAGGATAAGTTGGGTCTCTTGGGTAATACACCCTGCTCCTCAAGGGGAGTGATGCGCAGTGGTTAGAACAACACAGGGCATGAGTTCAACATATAAAAAACACATTTATAGCCCACCTTTCCTATAAGGAGTTCAAAGTGGAGCACATTATTCTCCTCCTCTCCACCTTATCCTTAAAAGCAACCCTGTGGCCGTGTCGGGATTCGAACCCTGGTCTCCCAGGTCCTAGCCCAACACTCTGACCATGGCACATTTCACTGGTAGAGGCCCAGGCGGAAAAACCTGGATGCTGCAGGGCCATGAATGGGGGAGGGGAGCGGCTATCAGCCTCTGGATGCTGTTGGACTCCAACTTCCATCAGCCTCAGCCAGCATGGCCAGCAGTGAGGGATGATGGGAGTTGGAGTTCTGCAACACCCAGAGGTTTCCCCAGTCACTGCTGCAGAGAGACACCGCTCCCTCTCTCATCATACTGAATGTGCAGTGGGCTGCATGCAACTGAGTCCTACTCAGAGTAGGCCCCCTTGGCATTAATGCACCCAAGTTTTTCATGTTTATAAATTCCAACTCTGTGTCAGATTCGCTTTGGATACAACCCACTGCCATCAGACATGCTGATGCTGTTCTGCTGATTCACAGAAGGTAGGGTCTATCACATGGGTAGGCAAACTAAGGCCCGGGGGCCAAATCCACCCAATCGCCTTCTAAATACTACCAGGACTACTTAATTTAACTCTCCCTGCTGGGTTTAGAGAGCACATCGCATAGGGGGTCAGGGGTGGGGTGGGGGATTGGGTGCCCTCGACCCCCCCCCCCAAGTCCCATCCTCCCTGACCATTGTCCAGACTGGCTAGGGATGCTAAGAGATGGAGTGCAACAGTTCTTCCATGTGCATCATCCGCCAGCTTTGCAAGGTAGGACGAGAGCTGGCAGATTTTTTCAATTTATTTTTTATTACGTTGAGCCGGTTCCCAGGGGCATTTCGCAAGAGGAGAGGAAGGCGGATTGTGGAAGAACAAAACTCCCAGTTGCCTTTGAAACGGGATCCGAGGAAGGAACGGGAGAGGGGAAGGGCGCCCCACCCTCGCTGTCTGTCGAGCCGGTGACTCGCACTGACGACTGTTCTGATGACTCACCTTGTTATGACACAGCACAAGATGACACAGCAGAAAAAAAAGGAGAGCGCGGCCCCTCCCGTCCTGTCCCAGGGAAACGACCCAGGTGTGGATTTTTTTGCGGGGGGGGGCAGAGAGAAGTCGCCACCGAACAAGGACCGTCTGCCCCCCATTTAAATACACGGACCTGAATTTCCCCCCTCTCTGCTAGAATATGGATGTAGGAACAGAGGAAGCTGCCTTATAGCCGGTCAGATCCAATGGTCCATCTAGCTCAGTATTGTCTGCACGGACTGGCAGCAGCTCTCCAGGGGTTTCCGGGGAGGGGCATTCTCAGCCCCACCTGGAGATGCCAGAGATTGAACGTGGGATCTTCTGCTTGCAAGGCAGAAGCTCTCCCACTGAGCTGTGGGCCTTCCCCAAATAAGATTCTTGTTGTGAAGGGATGACTCAGTCGGTAGGGCATGAGACTCAGGGTCGTGGTTTCGAGTCCCACTTCGGGCAAAAGATTCCTCCATGGCCGGGGGTTGGACTAGATGACCCTTGGGATCCCTTCCCGCTCTACAGTCCTATGAAAGGGGAACAGTGACTTTGACTGTATTAGGTGGGAGGTTTCGTTCCCAGCCTTTCCTTGAGGTCCCGCCAGGGATTGAACCGGGGACCCCCAAGCGATGACTCTTCCCCCTTATTTCTCAATACTAAAATCTCTATTTATTTTTTCTCCAGTAGAGCGTTTCTGATCCAAACCGTATTTTAAAAATGATAATGTACCAACATTCTTTGTCCTAGGATTCCTGTACAAGGCAGAAAATTCTCTCCCAATCCCCAAAGTGGCAGTTTTACGTTCCTGGTTGAAGCCATGATCTCCCTTCCTGCTTACTCACGATGAGTTGCAGGAACTCAGGTTATTCCTGGGCAATTTCTGAAAGCACCATCGGCTTAAGGAACTCCTTGCCACAAGGCAGGATGGAAGCCACCAACAGATTGGGGGGGGGTAATGCAAATTCATTGAGGAAAAGTCTATGTAAGGGATGGAGGGAATCTGTGGCCCTCAAGATGTTGCTGGACTCTGGGTCCCATCAGCCCCAGCCAGCATGCCCAATGGTCAGGGAAGATAGCAACTGAACAACTTCTCGAGGGCTGCAGGTTGCCCATCCTTGAGATCCAAGGCTCTCTTCCACCAATCCCTCACACTTTGCCTTCCACCAGTCCTTCCTCTGCCTGATGAAGAGCCCCATGGGGTTTAGATGCTGGCATATTTACTTTCTCGCCAACAGTAGCTAGTTTGAGTCATCAATTTATCTTGTTTTCTGGGTGAAAGGCCCCCAGAATTATCAATGCCAACACATAATGATGACTCTGTTTTATTCAATCTAGCCACATCTCTGTGGATTTAGTCACCAAACACCACACACATACAGCAATCCACTAAAATCCACCCCGTCCGTCTCTTCCTATAGGCTCAGCTCTTTCCCTTAACCCCAAATCCCCATTTGCAACCAGAATAAAGGACAGATGAGACATTAGGCTTGTTCACACATTACACTGACCTAGGCTCAAGCAATCTCTATATAGTGTTTTGCGTGAGAAAGGGTACACTTTGTTGATTGGTAACAGCTCACCTACTCTGTGCACAAGGTACACAGACCGTACACTCAATGTGAGTAACCAAATGAGTGTACAGTACAGCTATTTGTGCACACAGATTGTACGCTTGTTGACTGCAACATGCGAACATCCCATAATGATTCCCAGATCCTCCTTCGTGTCCCCTGTAGAGTTATCTCCCCATTCCACTGTATGCAGGAATCTTGGGTTCTATTTTATTTTTTGTATCGAACAAGATTTATATATCACTTAATCTTAAAGAAACTCTAAAATTATGGATAAAAACCAGATGTTGTTCTTCTGGTTCCCCTCGCCCCCCCTCCCAAAAATAAAATATTTATTTTTATCTAATAGGATTTCTATGCTGCTTAATCATAAGAAATGATGAAAACGCACCCGAAACTTACATTTTTAAACCTCTGCTGTGTGCCAGGCGCTGTACACATACGCTCGCTGTGGATGGGGTTCAAAACTAAACTCCTGCTATCTCTTTCCCTGCAGCTTCCCTCTTGCAAAACCACCAGTTGTCAAAGCCATTCGAAGAACCCACCTCTCTGTAATCTCTTTTCAGAGCTGACACTGAATAGCCAAACCTTCATTTGAGAGAAAAATCGGATGCAAGGCGCTTTTACCCACTATGGAAGCCGGGCGTGAGCTACCCCCTAGCGGCCAAAACCGGCACTGCTCCAATAGCCAAAGCGAGCAAAGCGGCTTCTTAAACCCGGATTTGCTCCCGCTCCTTGTTTAGTTTGACCTCCCTTGCCCGTGCCTCTGAGCACATTGAGAGTATTCTTTTTTTCTATAGCTGGAAATCATATTGCAATCTAATAAAACGTGTTTATAATTTTAGTAGATAACTATATTAAATAACCTAGAAAACACACACACAATAAATTATCGAATGGAAATAAACCCGGCATAGAGGCACCTATAAAAAAAGGGCCACAAAATTCCCACAACGCCATCGCTTCATTTTAAGCGTTTGGACAGGCAATACAACACAAAAATTCCTTCTCTCTCTTACACCACCCATTTGACAGAAGCAACCCCTCTCCACCCCCGATTTAGGGGGAAAGGCGCTTGAGATCAGAGGCAGACTGGGGCTCCCCAGGAACAGGGAAACCCGAGCACTTATTCAGAAATTTCAAACCGGGGGCGCGGGAACTACCGTATATCATACCCTGGAACTATAAACCCCTCTCCTCCCCATGGGACTCCTGACATAGGAGCCGCGGTCCCTTCGTCCCCTAATAAAATATTGGAGGGGGTCAGCGCCCCCCCCCCGCTGATTGGAATTGCCATTCAAATAGTGTGCGTCACCCACGTCTTGTGATCGATGATACCTGCCCCCCCCAATATTTTATTCAAGTTGGCACCCCTGGCTCCTGAGGCTTGTGTCTTTGGGGCAATCATCAGTTTCAAGCCTCTGCCCTGGAAGACGCGTGGGGAGGGATCATTTGCCCGGCAATGGCACACTAAAGAGTGTCCAGAGTTAGGAGAGAGTAGGGAGAAAAGCCTTACCTGCTGCGTCCCTGGGCGCAGAGTGGAGGGCCGATGACTCCCGGGAGCAGGTGCCCTTCCCGCTCCGTAACCTTTGTACATCTCTACCCAGCCTCAGCCCAGCGAACTGTCTCACACGCTGAAAAGAGCGCTTTCTATTTGCCTGATTTTTATGAATGGGAGCTCCCAGCCCACGCTATTCTCTAAGGAGGGGGGGATGAGGCATCGCTAAACTGCCACTCGGCATATTCGGATAGGAAACCCCTCCCCTGAGACCTCATTTCGACAGGGAACCCGATGAACTTTAGAGATGACACCCCCTGCGGGCAAGAAAGACCTCTTAAAATACAATCTAAAGGTTCAGTGGACTGCAGCCTCCCCTAGCTAAAGCCGCACTTGGTTCATTCCAAGGAGTGAGTCAGAGAGCGGTGACGTAGATGCCCTTAAATGGCCTGATTTCTTCCTGTTTGGCGTTCCTCGAAAAGGATTCCCTTTGCCCAAGCTTTCACGTGTGTGGTAGAAACCCTGTTTCGACCGAGAGCGCTTTTGGATTAGGAAGGACACAATTTGGGAGACTGAGATGAGAGGTTCAGAGATTCAAACCTCGCTGGAAAACCCCTCCTTTCGGCCTCATAGTCCAGCTCTTCTTAATCTGAATAGTTCACTTACAATGAAGAATGGGGCACTCTGCACATGCTCGGAAGCACTTTTAGGATTGTTATTTTTCTAAATAAAAAGAAAAATCTGGTCTAGGGCTGAATTTTGTTCTTGGGAAAAGAGGGTTTCGGAGCTGGACACCTTGCTCACAGCGCGGAGAGGGGTGGGGAGAGAAGTGGCGGGCGATAGACTTCAGGAGTGGGTGAAAATAAAATTTATTTGCTCTCTATTCGCCACCCCCCCCAATCTTTTTTTCCATCAGGCACGTGCTCACCGTACCGGTCAAATCCAGATGGCGTTTCATATTCTTCACGGGGGTGACTCATACCCCCGTGGGCAATTAGCAGGGAAATCCCCATCATTTCCCCACTGGGAATAGAGCCAGGCCGTAAACCTAGATAGAGAAAGTATCTTGTTCCATTCAGCTAGTGGAAGAAGACACACACAGACACAGACACACACACACACCATCAGGGTTCAAAAAGTGGGTTCTTTCAAATCAGGGTTGGGGGAACCTGTGACCCTCCGAAGGTTGCTGAACTACAAATCCCATCATCCCAGATCACTGGGCTGCAGTGATGGAAGTTGAAATCCAATAATCTCTGCCATAAATTCCCTGTTTCTATGTTAAACAGTAGTACAGGGAAATGTGGACTCCTGGGTCCTTTCCCCATCTCACAAAGAGCTGTGGAGTCCATTGGTGGGACAGAAGCTGGAATCCCTGACTTGTTCGTGAGGGTGGGAGAAGTTTTATGATGCAGATGCAGTGTGGCCTAGTGGTCAGCATGTTGGATTGTTTAGACCTGGGACAGCTGGTGTCTCCATCACTGAAAGCGGAAGGGGAGGTGCACTAGGATGCCTGGGTTCTTTTCTTGACAGAGTGGGAACTGGCAGAAAACCAGAGCTTCAAGCAGCCTCTTCTGAAGAAATGCTTTGGTATTGTTCTGTCTAAAGCCATGCTTATCTCTACTAAGGCATAAGCCCCTTGTATTTCAAAGGCACTTACTCCTCCCAGGAAAGTGTACAAAGACTGTGTGTAAAGCACTTTACACGATGACAAACGTGAGAGAAGCAAAATACAACTGTCATCACCACCATCAATGTCACTATCAGTAACAATAATGATTATTCATTCATTCATTACACATTTTTGTATCCTACCTTTCTTGTCCGGAGATCAAGGCAGTGTACAACAGTCCTGCTAGGGAGACCACGTTTGTTGTCCTCCCACCCTGTGCAAAAATTAAAAATTAAAAAAATGGGAGGCGCTGAATTAAGGTCACCTGCTGAGGTCGCGCCAGGGGAAAGATTGGAGCAGAGATGGCGTGATGTGGCTACTGGTCCCTTAGCCGCCCCACACTAATGAAACACTTCTAGCTGAGCTTCAAACCTTCTCAGCATGTGAATGGGGGAGAGTTTATGAGTAATGAGCAGAAGAACCAGGCAGCAGGATTTTTCCATTTTTCTGTTCCTGGCTTTTGGCCTCAAGAGGCAGGAATAGAAAGTGATTAAAAAGGCAACTTCTGAATAGAGAAAGTGAAGGTAGTGAAAGCAGGACTCCCCCTCAGCATCCTGTACACACACACACACACACTCACACTCACACTTAGGTGATCCTTTGAAGCAAGGCTGACTGCACAATGCTGTTGATATTTCAAAGTTTTTTTTCCAGATTTTACCCTGGGGCCGGAAAGTGAAGAATTCCCCTAGGCATGTGTAATCAAGTACAACAAACCATTAACAGCTGATAGAAGTGGGGGAGAGGGGCAGTTTCTGGGTTAGAGGGTCATCTGGGGAAACCTCATTGAGAAATGCAAACAGAGTGCATGTACATCTTTTATCATTGGTCCCCACCTACGCAACACTTTGAATGTGCTTGTGAAGGAGGCCACTTTTATGAATGCCATAGGAAGCTGGGTCAGACCACTGTTCCATCTAGCCCAGTATTGTCCACACTGACTGGCAGGGGCTCTCCAGGGTTTTCTCCCTGCCCTGCCTGGAGATGATGGGGATTGAATTGGGGACCTTCCGCATGCAAGGCAGATGTTTCCCCAGTTCTCATTGCACAGCGATCCCCTTTGCACAGCTCTGTTCCCATTGTACAGAATGAGGAAAGTGAGGCTTGAGCAAAGAGAGGAAAACAGACAGGGAGAGCAACCTTGGGAGAGCACACACACCTGCTAATTCTAACCATATGAGATGCAGCCTTATCCGGACCAGAGATGGAAGTGTTTGTCTCGCTACTCCAGGAATAAAACACTTGTCTTCCACTGTCAGGGCTCAGGGTCCAAAGTCTCTGAAAACTCCCAGGGCAGAGGGAACTCCCTAATTTTTTACAAATAAAAAAACCCTTCAAGGGATGACATGAATCTCTTCCTTCGAGATCTGGCAGGATGTGAGACACTGCAATAGGACTTTGGTGACTCACCTTGGAGGAAGAGGAGCGGAGTCAGCCGGCAGATCTGTGGCTTATCCCTAAAAACAGACACTTCTCAGCCCCGTGGAGCAAGCAAATCCAGAGAGGTTCAGAGATTACACTGAGGGGGCCTGGGCAGTGGTAGCTGCTGCCCCCTAAGACTGATGGAGTGGAAGGCAAGACAGAGGAGCCAGAGGCAATGACCAAGGATAGAGCCACCAACGGATTCTGATTCCCCCTCTCCCCATCCTCCTTAGCAGCCTGCTCAGTTCTAATAAGGAGACTAAGGAGGAGGAAGAAGCTGACAGCAATGGCCACCCCCTGGGCTGCGTGCAAGTAAGAAGGCCGGCTGGCAATGCCCCATTTGCATTAATCATAGAATCTACCGTTGCAATGCAGGAATCTTAGCTAAAGCACCGGAGACAGATGGCCATCCAACCTCTGCTTGGAAACCCCCAGGGAAGGAGAGTCTACCACCTTCTGAGGGAGACCATGAATCAGCCTTGGCCGGGCCTTGGCAAAGCATTTTACCATTGCACTGTTGAGAGTGCATTAACTTATGGTCTCTGTGTGCGGTGTGGGAGCTGCACGGTCAGGGAATAAACAAGACTGTCCAGGGTTGTAAAGACTGCGGAGAGAATAATTGGGTGTACTCTTCCCACCTTGGATCAAATCTATGCTTCCAGGTGTCATAAGGAAGCTGCAGAGATAGTGCAGGATAGTGCGGACCCCGGAAATGATCTCTTTCAGCTTCTGCCTTCTGGAAAAAGGTACAGGGTTATAAAGACTAGGACTAGCCGCCCGAGAAACAGTTTCTATCCAAATGCGCTTTTGGTTTTAAACACAGTGTACGGAGTCTTTATGGGAGTATATTGTATTTTTAAAATAGGGTGTCAGAGTTTTTAGGGGGCTAACCAGGTTGGGATAGCTGGGATAGCAGGCTTGTTGGTTTTGAATGTCTTATGTAGATTTTTTTTCTTCAATTTCGTTGTTCTGTATGGGACAATGACAATACAGATTATCATATTGTATTGTATCGTATCATATCATAACAGGGGATGAGGTGGAAAAGAGAACAGGCATGGATGGAAGGAAGTGGGTGGGCATATAAGAACAGTTGGGCTACCCAGCTGCTGGGACAGAATCAACAGAGCACCTGCTTTGCATACATCCCTGCTGGTAGAGCATGAGCCTTTGAATCTCAGGGTTGTGGGTTCGAGCCCCGCGCCGGGCCAAAACATTCCTGCATTGCAGTGGGTTGGACTCAATGACTCTCACGGTCCCTTCCAGCTCTACAATTCTATGATTCAGAAGGTTGCAGGTTCAATCCCCAGCATCTCCACGGAAGGCTGGGAATATCCGGCCTGCAAGTTTGGTGAGTTGCTGCCGGTTAGTGCAGGCAATGACCCGGTGAGTCTGGCGCAATACGAGGCCCCATTGGCACAATACATTCAAAGCAGTATCCTGCTACTCTAAGCAGCTGTGGCTTCCCAGGAAGAGGGGTTGGTTGTTCAACCACTCTGGGAATTGCAGCTCTGGGAAGGAAATAGGGAAGTATCCTCACAACTCTTAGCAAACTGCCACTCCCAGAATCCTTTGGGGGAAGGAGTAACTGTTTAACCCGGCACGATCCTCCTTGGACTGCGTAGTGCAGGTGGCACCTAAGGCCGTTTCTTATGTCCCTCTGCTATCGTAGCTTGCATGGGACTCCCAGCCCAGACTGGGACAAACAGAGTATCCTGAAAGAGGACTCCTTTGGCTGTCTAGAACCAGGGGTAGACTTTGGTAATATGGCACCCTAAGCTGTGGGTAGGCAAACTAAGGCCTGGGGGCCGGATCTGGCCCAACTGCCTTCTGAATCCGGCCCACGGACAGTCTGGGAATTGGCATGTTTTTACATGAGTAGAATATGTTCTTTTATTTGAAATGCATCTCTGGGTTATTTGTGGGGCCTGCCTGGTGTTTTTACATGAGTAGAATGTATGCTTTTATTTAAAATGCATCTCTGGGTTATTTGTGGGGCATAGGAATTCGTTCATTTCCCCCCAAAAAATACAGTCCAGCCCACCACAAGGTCAGAGGGACAGTGGACCAGCCCCCTGCTGAATAAGCCTGCTGACCCCTGCCCTAATCACACACCCTTCTTATTTTCACAATTCCCAGGGCTCTTTTTTCAGCGGCAACTCACAGGAACTCACTTCTGGCACCTCTC